TGTCTAATCTATCTAATCTATCTAATCTAATCTAATCTAATCTAATCTAATCTATCTAATCTAAATCTAAATCTAATCTAATCTAATCTAAGTAATCTAATCTAATCTAATCTTTTCTAATCTAATCTAATCTAATCGATCTAATCTATCTAATCTATCTAATCTATCTAATCTATCTAATCTATCTAATCTATCTAATCTATCTAATGTATCTAACCTATCTAACCTATCTAATCTATCTAATCTATCTAATCTATCTAATCTATCTAATCTATCTAATCTATCTATCTATCTAATCTATCTAATCTATCTAACCTATCTAATCTATCTAATCTATCTAATCTATCTACCTATCTACATATCTACGTATCCGTCTATTTAACTATATTATCTTCTTTTATCTTATCTCATCCCATCCTTTGTTTTATCTTATCATATCCTATCTTATCTGATCTTATCCTATTTTATCTTATCTATCCATAGATCTGGTCATTGTATATATTGTTCAATAATGTTGAACACGACAGTTTTGTAGATGATACAACACACCGAATTTCGCAACACTTTTTTTGGCCATGCAGTGGACCCAGTCTTCGGTCTAGACCAGCATGGGTATGAGACCCACCCAGAATTGATGGGGATACCATGACAAATGTGGGGTATCCTGGCGATGAGATGATTTTCTCTCAACATGCATGGGGTACCCAAAGACTGCAACTAGAAAAGGTTCCACGGATCCCCATTGTCAAACAAAGCCATTGTTGGTTGAGTTTGCCATTGACCCTGTTTGGAGCCATCTCTGGATGAGGATTTCATACATTGACATCTCTATTATCTCCATATATTACACTAGGAATACCATCATATGATGTGTTTCCCAGCGTATACAATCCTATATTGAGCTATTATTATCAAAGGACGTTGGGAAGCAATCTTTCGAGCTATGGATGAAGTGTAATGCAGTAACAATACATCACACAACAACATATCACACAACAATACATCACACAACAATACATAACACAACAATACATCACATAACAATACATCACATAACAACACATCACATCACACAACAGTACATCACATAACAATACATCACATAACAACACATCACATCACACAACAGTACATCACATAACAATACATCACATAACAATATATCACATAACAATACATCACATACCAGTGCATCACACAACAGTACATCACATAACAGTAATGGCTGCCTGAATGTGTACGTGGTGCTGCAAAACGCATTGTACTGGATGCATGAATGAAACCTTGTGTTTTTTCGGGTAAAGTGGCTGCTGCCGGCGAAAAAGGGCAGCTCGTGTGTGTGGCGGGTGCGGCCGTTCGTTTTCATGTGTGATTGGTTCCTCCATGGTGTTCTGAAAAGTGCGGTTGCAAATCGCATTGTAATGGCTGCAGAATGTGTACGTGGTGCTGCAAAACGTATTGTGCTGGCTGCGTAAAGTAGTGCTGGGAAGTACTTTGTGCAAGCTTTTTAAGTACAAAGTAGTGCTGGAAAGTACTTTGTGCAAGCATTGTAGTACAAAGTAGTACTGGGAATTGCCTTGTGCAAGCTTTGTAGTACAAAGTAGTACTGGGATCTGCTTTGTACAAGCTTCGTAGTACGAAGTAGTGCTGGGAAGTGCTTTGTGCAAGCTTTGTAGTGCAAAGTATTACTGGGACGTGCTTTGTGCAAGCTTTGTTGTACGAAGTAGTACTGAGGAGTACTTTGTGCAAGCTTTGTTGTACAAAGTAGTACTGGGAATTACTTTGTGCAAGTTTTGTTGTACGAAGTAGTACTGAAGAGTACTTTGTGCAAGCTTTTTTAAGTACAAAGTACTGGGAAGTGCTTTATTTAAGCTTTGTAGCACAAAGTAGTACTGGGACGTGCTTTGTACAAGCTTTGTAGTACAAAGTAGTACTGGGAAGTGCTTCGTGCAAGCTTTGTAGTACAAAGTAGTACTGGGATCTGCTTTGTGCAAGCTTCGTAGTACGAAGTAGTGCTGGGAAGTGCTTTGTGCAAGCTTTGTAGTGCAAAGTAGTACTGGGACGTGCTTTGCGAAGTAGTACTGAGGAGTACTTTGTGCGTGCAAGCTTTGTAATACAAAGTAGTACTGGGACGTGCTTTGTACAAGCTTTGTAGTACAAAGTGGTAATGTGAAGTACTTTGTGCAAGCTTCGTAGTACAAAGTGGTTGAGTTGAGAAGAATTTTCAGGAGATTCGAGAAAGATTGATCATTTTCGGATGAAATGAAAACAGTTGAGAAGAACTGAAGAACCTACTTAGACTTAGATGACATGTGAGAAGAGGTGGGATGAGATAGGAAGAGCTGAGATGAGGTGAGAAGAGCTCACATGGTTTGAGATGAGATGAAGTGAGGTGTGCGAAGTGCGAAGTGCGGGGTGTGAAGAGCGCAGTGTGAAGCCTGAACAGGTCCGTTTGGGGTTGCATTGCAACGTGATCGCGCGCAGGTCATGTTCTTGTACAACAACAGCGAAACAGAACAGCGCAACAGCTTCGCACAAAGCACGCACGCACGGGCCTGGCTGGCACACGGCGCATGCCAGTTCTATAGATAAGAAAGGTCTTATAGTACAACCCTAAGGCAACTTCCGCTCTGCCTCGTGCAGGTACTACTGGTATAGTATCAGATATTATTATCATTATTACTTAAAAACCTTCGGCTATTCTGCCGGCCTCTGGGCCAATGGCCTAATGGATGTGGGCCAAGGGAAGCTTCTAGAATGATAACACGTCTTGTGCTTGTTGATGTAAAGGCCGCTTGGTAAACGCTAGTTTGCGTAAAATCTGGTTGGCGCAAAAGCTGGTTGGTGTAAAAGTCAGTTTGCGTAGAAGCTATGGCTATGTCGTGTAAAAACAGGATTGTGCTAGTTTGTGCAAAAGCTGGTTGGTGTAAAAACTAGTTTGTGTCTAGTTTGTGTAAAAGGTAGCTGGTGTACAAACTCGTTGGTGTAAAGCTAGGTTTTGTAAAGGCTAGTTGATGTAAAAGTTAGTGTGTGTAAAACTCTAGATTGTTCAAACACTAGTTTGTATGCCCGGTGTCTCTGGTGTAAGAAAATAGTTTGTGTAAAAAAATGTTTCCGTAAAAACTAGCTTGTGCAAAAGCCAGTCTATGCGAAAGTTGGTAAGTGAGTGTAAGTGTAACACCTTGATCGCGCGACAGACAAATGATTTAACATTGGTTGGCACAAAAGCTGTTTGTTGTAGCTCGCTTTTGCTTGGAGGACGCAATAAAGCATTGAGAAAACATGGAAAAATGCAGCATCCTAGAAAATGCAGCATCCTAGGGGTTGGCCAGAGCAACCAAAGACAAAATGGAGACGGGATCAAGCTGAAGAAGGAAGAGGAGGAAGAGGAAGAAGGAGAACTAGAGGGACGACGAGGAAGAGGATGAAGGATGATGATGAAGATGAAGGATGAATAAACTGGGGGGTGGTTTGGGGGGTGGGGTGAGGGCAGCCAAAGCAAATATTCGTCTAGGAGGAGATCTCAGGTATAGCTATAGCTAGAGCTAGAGCTAGATTTCAGCCTAAAACTGGAACAAGATCTAGCTATTGCTGTAGCTAGGGCTATCCCTTAAAATACTTATTGGGAGGGGGGGAAGGTCTCCAGTTTACTGTGTATGGTCTTTCATTTACTTTCTTTCATGGGAACTCGACCTGGGCCACTGGGATTGGTTTAAGGACGCTAGCAGATGCTTTGAGTCCAATTTTATGATTGTACAATTAATTATACATCCTATAAAGCTACATCCCAGAGTGATACCAAGTCACTCCCTCAGAGTCAAGGACCCAAGGGACATCAAGTCCCCTTCCCAAGAGGCACTCAGCATTCTCCAAGCTGAAACTGTCCCCTCTCCTGAGTTTTATTTTCTCTGGTCTTGCTTTCATGTCATTTTCTTATTTAGCAACTTGTTTTGCCATGTGGCTGACGGAATGCTGCTGCAGACGTGTAGTTCGTTATGAACTGCATATCGCTGCCGGAAAATAGCCGAAGGTGTACCAAGCCAGAGCAACGCAAGCAAAGCAAAATCCGCGCAGGAGGCAATCTAAAGCTGGAGCATAGCCACGGCAAGGATTTGTAACGAGAACACCCACAAAACACGCAGGCCGGCGGATTCATCGATATCATTTTTCCCTGTCTTCATCTATGATTATCAAGTGTTTCCCGGTCTAGATGAAAAATGATATAGATAATATTAGATAAATATTACATATATATATACACATGTATACATATTCATCTATCATTGTATTTTATCTATATTGTCATCTTATAATACAACAAGTCAGCCAGATATTATGTGTTTCCCGACCTAGCGGCCTAGGCCTGGTTCGGCGTTGTGACTCTGTCGCGGGGTCTCTTTCTGTCCCTGCCCTCGGTCATTGTGCCCAATCGACCAAACGTTCAGCTGGTGATGATGCACTCGGTGATGCTGTTTTCGTTAGCCACTGGGACACGGTGAGACTTTGTTGATGGAAAATGAGGATGGAAACCCAAGAGAGGTAAACCCTCCCCAATAGCTGGGTGGTTTATTTCATGGAAATGTTTGAAGACATGGATGATTTGGCCCCCCCCCCCCACTCTAAGGAAACCCCTTATAGATGTGGAAAACCTATATATTGGGAAACCCATTCGGAAAATGGTCTACTTAAATGGTGGGTAAACTCTATTTACAGGAGGGCAAGCATCATCTATGATATTCAAAAAAAGGGTTTATATCTGCCAGTACTAGGAGTTTACAGCAACCATCAAGAAAGAAAATGAACATTTGTTCATGTATGAAAGGGATGCACCGTGACATCGAGGTCTTTCAGGGCTACTGCCAACCCTGGAAGTCACCAGCCCCTCGGTGCAACTTTTTAATTCAGAGGTGTCGCAAAAGAAAAAGGCGAATCGCAACACCTTAGCACCTAAACCTCTTTCTCTCTCTCTCTCCCTCTCTCTCTCTATATATATATATATGGGTTTCCACGACTGGCTGTACCCCAATAGCTATGGGATATTCATCAGACTTTTTGTATATTGAATAATCCCTATATTCCATCCCTTTTTCACGAGTTGGGATGCGAATTGAGGCCGTGAATTTGGTGGATGCGATCTCCCAGTCGTTGTTTCTGACCTTGCTGGGCATTGGCTTGGGAGGCTTTCAAAACTGAAGCCATTTTGGGTGAAATTTTAGTCCTTACTGATCGTAAGCGAAGGAAGGTCGGACGTCAAACTTCCAACAATATGGACAGATGGAAAAGCAGAGGCGGGAAGAGTCAGTGAGGAGAAGAGCCGAAGAGAGAAGATCAGAGAAGAGTAAGAGTGAGAAGAAAGAAGAAGCAGGTGCGCGAAAAGGTAGGAAAGTCGCGAAACACTGTGTTTTGCCAATGATTTGTGGCTCCGGAGGGTCGAACAGTAGGCTCGCTAAAGCGGCGGGTGCGGAGCCATGTGGTCAGATGAGAGATGAAAAGTTACACGTCGTCGTGGCGTGAAGCGCATTTCCAAGTCAAAATGTACAAAGCACACCAACGTCGGACCACTTTTGGAAGTTGTGATGTCGAAAAAGCGCACGGCGTTGTGGCGGGAAGCACATTTCCAAGTCAAAATGTACAAAGCACACCAACGCCGGACCACTTTTGGAAGTTGTGATGTCGAAAAAGTGCACGGCGTTGTGGCGCGAAGCACATTTCCAAGTCAACATGTCAAAAGCACCACATGCTCGGACCATTTTTGAAGGTTCCGATGCGGTTTTGCGTGGCAGGCGCAAGCGATTCTGCACCTGGCCAAAAGTGAGCAAAACGTGAGGGTTTTGTACAGGTGTGGGACATTTGCAGAGGATCTGCAAAGATGCATGTCGCGTGGCAAGCGCAGTACAAGAGACATGTTCATCAGAGATGTTAGGAGGTCAGGGCGCTGATTTCCTGAGAGAGGTTGCATTTTGGAGCATGAGATCTTCAAGTTTGCCAAAATGATTTTGCGTGACAGGTGCAGCACTTCGTATGACCTGGCATCACTGTTTCGTGGCAGGCGCAATACTTTAGAAACGTAGACCGGAAAAATCGCAAAACGCATTGGTACGAGGCCGTCAGCACTGCACTCAACTTCCATTTTTGAAGGGAGTCTCGCAGAATGACTTCGTTTTTGATGTTGCTAACTTTGAAAAAATGAGGAAGCCTCGCAGAATTAATTGCTTCGATTTTGACGTTGTCAACTTCAAAAGTTGAGGAAGTCTCGCAGAATTGCTTCGTTGTTTGACGCTATCAAGTTCAAAAGTTGAGGAAGTCTCGCAGAATTTCTGCACATCTGATGTTGTCAAGTTCAAAAATTGAGGAAGTCTCGGAGTCTCGCAGAGTAGCTTTGTTTTCAAACTTGCAGATAGACAGACAGACAGGTAGATAGATAGATAGATGGATGAATAGATAGATAGTAGGTAGGTAGGTAGGTAGATAGGTAGATAGGGACATCGGTAGATATGTAGATAGGTAGATAGGTAGTTAGGTAGTTTGGTAGATAGGTAGGTAGGTAGATAGGTAGATAGGTAGATAGATAGACAACTACAACTGCAACTGAAACTACAGCTACACTACACTACCACGACAAGTACAAATACATTTACAAATGCACCAAACTACAGTACACTAATTACACTACACTACACTACACTAATTACAGTACCGACACTAATTACACTACAACTACAGCTGCAACTACTACAGCTACAGCTACAGCTACAACTACAACTGCACTACATTACACTACACTACACTAATTACATTACGCTACGCTACGCTACGCTAGACTACAACTACAACTACAGCTAGACCCCATTACACAACACTACGCTACACTAATTATACTGCACTACACTAACTAGAACTACAACTACAGCTACAACTGCACCACACTCGGCTACGCTACACTAGACTACATTACAGAACACAACACTGCAGCACACCACACTACACTACATCACATTACATTACACTACACTCATTACACCACACCACAACTACAACTACAACCACGCTACACTAATTACATTACACTACAGCTACAACTCCGCTACACTACAACTACAGCTACAGCTGCACTACATCACACTACATCAAGCAGCTGTGGGCGTGGTGACCACTGCAACCATCGCAACCACTTCAAAAACACAACTCCAACCACCTTTGGGTCCATCAGTGGATTCGCTCTGCCATCCATGCATCACAACAACTCATCTCCTATAGTGTCCTATCTTTGAAACTTCCGCCACCGCCTTGTGCGGTACTACTGGTAACTGACAACCTATCCGAAGGAAGTTTAGAAGTCAAACTTCCGACATGTGGACAGATGCTGCAACAGTGGTGGGAAGAGTCGTGGTTGGAAGAGTCAGGAGAAGAGAAAGAGTCAGATAAGAGAGAGGCAGAAGAAAGAAGATCAGCGCGCGGAACTGTAGAAAAGTCGGGAAACACTAGAGAGATAGAGAAATAGAGAGATAGAGGGACAGAGAGATAGGGAGATAGGGAGATAGGGAGATAGATAGAGATATAGATAGAGATAGAGAGGGAGAGGGGGGAGGGGGCGGGAGAGAGTGGGAGAGAGCGGGAGAGAGCGGGAGAGAGCGGGAGAGAGCGGGAGAGAGCGGGAGAGAGAGAGAGAGAGACTCAGGGCCTCAGCCACTTTTCGGTCCATCAGTGGTTTCATTCTGCCGTCCATGCATCGCAGCAACCGACCTCCCTCAGAGGTTTCCTATCTTCGAAACTTCCGCCACCGTCTGTGCAGTACTACTGGTAGCCACTGGTAATGTTTGAGAACCCTTCAATTTTCAAAAATTGGTTGATAATTGGCTACAGTGATTTGAACAAAAAATGATCACAAACTGCTGTGAACTCTGAAAATCCATATCATCATCATGTCCAGGTCTCGAGCAAAGTGAAGCAGCGGTGGATGTTTTGATGACTCTGGGCACGTTTGTTTGTATCTGTTTACTACTGGCCTCTCGGCTGAGATGTAGCGGAACGATGCAGAAGGGGGAGAGCCTGAGTACTGTACGTAAAATTTATTTGTAGCCAAAGAGGTAGGGATTTGAGGAAGAAAAAAAATGGAAAATTGATGTTTTTTTTTCAGATGTGAATGCTGTTGCTCCCCCAAAGTCCGCCAGTTCGGGTTTCAATGTTTACTAGTTGGATTGGTTTCAGGGAACATTAAAACCCGAAACCCTGATATTTGATGCGGAAAACCATGGTTTTAGGTTTCAATTTCCCTTCAACGCATCCAGTGGTTTACACCCTGGGTGGAGGGGTTTGGACTTTGTCTTCGAGCTGAACCAATTCTGAACCAGAGTTCCAACGTGTTCAACCATTCTGAAGCATGGTTCAATATAGAGCCAGTTTTAATGAAGTTTGGACCATGTTTGGAAACATCTTGACCATTTTGAAGGATTTGGGCGTCAATTGAAACCTTTTTTTCTCCCCACCAACTTTCCCAATGAACCAGGGCAATCTCCACATGGTTTTTTGACAAAACTAGATGTCCACCAAAAACATATTGGTGATCCCGAAAAACATCTAGGACTCATCTAATGACAATATGATGAATAAATAAATATAAAAATAAATAAATACATAAACAAATAAATACATAAATAAATATATATATGTATATGTATATGTATATGTATATGTATATGTATATGTATATGTATATGCATATGTATATATATATATATATTATTTGTTTTATACACGCACATTGTCACATTGAGTACATTAAGTGCAGATGTATGTAATAAGATACATTTTCTATAAATAAATATATATATATAACTTTCTAAATCCTCTAAATATGGTGGTCATATTCTCCTACAAAAATCCTCTATGGAGGGTAGGTCCTTTATAAATCCTCTATATTTCTGTTAGAAGGGAGCTGAGTCGTTCAAAATTGGATATTCAGATCTATGCATGGGATGTACTCCCCTATAAATTCTCTATATGTAGTTGAATGTGGAATAACCATTTTCCTCCCACAAATCCTCTATAGGTGGTCGCAAATCCCCATTTACATCTTCAAAAACAGTCCTCTATAAATCTTCTAATAGATATTGATGGGATAGTTTCTTCTATCAATCCTACAATTCTTCCATAAAATCCAGGTATACACTCCAAAAACCCTCTATACATAATGGTTACCCTCTGGAAATTTAACATAGCTATGGAAAATCACCATGAATTTCATGGGAAAACTCACTATAAATGGCAATTTTCAATAGCTTTTTGTATGTTTACCAGAGGGTAATCCCATCCAAATCCTCCCAGGTCTTCGCCGTTGCGTTGCTCACCTTCGGCGCGGCGCTGCTGGTGGAGAAGCTCTTCGACAGCGCGCTGGGCCTTGGCCGCCGCTGCGCCAGCCTTGGGGAGGTCCCGGAGCCGGCGCTCATCGTCTTCCTGCGCCGCGGCTTTTTAACAACGGGGGAGCGGTCGGAGCCATTTATGAAGTGGAGCCATGTATAAAAAGTGGTTATTAAGTGGACTCATCATGGATCTAACATGATCTAACTATTCAGATCATCTAGCCATTTATTTTTCGGGCCCGCACCCAGTGAGAACTGATGCGAGGCTGCAGAACGTTGCGAGCAGCATCAAGAGGACTGCCTCGCACAGGACGACTTTTACAGCCGCAGTGGATCAGCTAGGAACACATGATGCTCGCATCTCAGCTGCGAGTAAAACCAGGTGAAAAATGCTCAAAAAAGGGTTTTCACCTGCTTTGAATGGGCCATTTTGATGGTAATTCGAAATGTATCCCAGTATATAAGTATATGTATATATATATATATTTGTATAATTATATATATAATAGATATTCAGTTTTCTTCCGGGAAAAAGGTACATATCCAGTGCTAGCGTGTTTGCCACTGTTCCACCGATGCACCTGTGATGACATTGGGATAGATTTTGAGCATCCGACGAAGTTTTGATCCTGTTCTTTGCCAGAAAAGTAGTGTCTCAGCCGTGCACGTTCCGAGGTATGATCCTCATGTCCTTGACGATTCTGGAAATGGAAATGGGACTTTCATCCACGAGATCAAGCAGCATGACTCTCCCTGGCGCAGACGCTGAGTTTGCGAAGCAGCTCTCGGACATTGCGGAATCTCGGCCCACTGCAAAGCACACAGCATGCGTGGAGAAACTGAAGTTCGGTAAATATGGTTTAGGACATCAAAACGGTTCTAACCCGTTTCCATTTTTTTGGAACCATTTCATTTTTTAAATGTGTGTTATGACAAAGACAAGGCTGGGCTGGAAAACTCTGTTCTAAAGGCCATGAGAGTTTTTATGGGATGTGGTTGCTCCAAAAACAGAAGAAACTTATCCAAATTTGGGGTAATTCTGATTCTCCTTTAATTAAAAGGTATCGAAAACTCCTCGGTTTGGACCCAGCAGATGTTCAGAGTAATCCTGGCAAAATGAGTGTGGTAAAACCAATCATACATCACTACGGGCTTCCCCGAAATGCCTGGAACCATCTCCAATTGGAGGATGACGTTCCTGCCGCTGCTAGAAAATATCTAGCAAAAAAAGATGCATGGTTCGTTCCATCGGATTGTTGTCGATTTGTAGGTCTAAGTTGGATCTATGGATCTATGACATTGCGTATACATGAGTTCCTCTGTATGGTACCTTTGAATCCACTGGTCAATCATCATTTTCCCCATTGAGACTGCAAGGACTGCAAGGACGAGGGGGGATACCGCATTTTTGCACACACCCTTATATAAATATATAGTTTAATATATACATGCATGTATTTATATACATCTAAAATCTTACAGGTTTTACCTCATTCATTCTAAACTCTCAAAAAGTAAACTTAGAACCAAGAACTAAGAAGATAATTGTCTGGTTTAACCAAGAAACTTCCATGATTTCCCCAAAAATACACATGACATCTTTCACCAACGTTTCCGCGCCTCAGGAGCCCTACCGCATCGCGGGTGGTGCCCAGCCGCGGGCCCCCAGAACGGGCACGGCCGTAGCGAAGCGGCGCATGTCGTGTCAGGCGGCGGCCTTTCGTGGCAGCCTGAAGTTCAGCCTCAGTGGCCTCAGCCAGGACGTTCGAACGTCGTGGTTAGGTTTTCACCGAGATTTTGATCGAAAAATCTGGTGATTTCCATGGTCAAAAAATCATATGATTGACATGGGGGTGATGTCCCAGCGGGATAAAGAAGCAAACGATTGGAATTGACCGCGAAATTTCAATGGGTATGAAAACCATATGGGCCATGGGATAATCTCGATAATTTTATAACGCCGCCACTGTAGATGATGCTTAGGGTTCGGGGAACCGGGGAACCATCCCCAACTTGGATTTGGGATTTTTCCCAGATCCATATTTTTCAGGTTCTGGGGAGAGAAGTTTCTGACCAACTTAGGGTTTTGGCCTTCTGACCATGGTACGTCAGCAGCTGAGATTTCCATAGCTTTATTTTGGCCACACGTATCCATGGGTCGGCTGATGCACCGATTCACCAAGCTTTCGTCACTTAGAGAGCAAGCCTTATTTCACCATCATTTCAGTCGATGTCTAACCCTCCAAACCTGAAATCTCGAGGACATTCCTATCATCTAGTGTGACACTTTCACAAACCATGTAGCAAGTCCCCAAACCCCCAAACATTCCAAAACTCAGGTACAAAACATACTTACATTCACAGACATGCACATGCATCTACAATAAGCTACATACATTTACATTTATTTACATACATTTCATTTACATACATTTACATACATTTGCATACATTTACATCAATTTACATACATATGTTTATACATATATGCTTACGTATGTATATATATATATGTAATATAAATATTATACACATATGCATGCAATGATGAATGATAAACAAGTGAGGAACTGACCATCCGGTGGTTAGTGAACCCAAGGAACGGACATCCCTCACTAAGAATGCCATGCAAGAGGGTGACCGTGTCCATTGGCTCATATGGGGATTTCCATACATGGGGATACCCAAAATGGATGGTTTAAAAGGGAATTCCATCTATAAATGGATGATTTGGGGGTACCCCTATTTTAGGAAACCCCCATATAGGTGCCCAATCTTGTCAATGTCTCACGTCTATAGCGCGTGCAGATCCCCTTTTTCTAGCAGGTTCTCTATGGGTCTTCCCATATACCCTTTGTTAATCAAATTAACGGAACATAGTTCAACGATCCATAAATGGTCGGATAATCAACAATAGTCAACAATAATCAAACATAATCAACAATATATAATCAACAATAATCAACAATCCATCATATCATCTATCTATAAATTTTTAAATGGTCTCTTTGTTTTGGTTTCTTTTGGGGCTATTTCCATCTGTGTTTTTGGATCGACTTGTTGAGGAGTCCCTCGCTGCAGGCAGCGTGGATGACTTGGGCGCCCAGGCGACATGCTTAGGGGAGGAATTCTAAACCCTGCCGTGGTTTTTTGAAAACATTTCTTGGTGTTTTTTATTTTTGTTTTTATTTTTAAACATGTAATGATCGAAATGAACTCAGACTTGTCAAGCAGGTAATACGTATATATATATATTATACATACAATATGAAATATATATATATACACAAATACAATACAATACAATACAATACAATTGAATAAAATACAATTGAATACAATACAATTGAATACAATATAATACAATATATCTCGGACTGTTGTGTGGCAACTGGGCACAGCAAAGCAGCAGTGCCGCAGCCGCCTCCGACAGGTCTATGCGATCGGTCTCGCCACATCAGCTGCCTTGCGCATTTGATGTGGGAAAAAGTCACTACAGTTGCGGCTCATGTCAGCCGCAACTGAAGGTGGGATTGAAATCAAAACTCCGTCAACAGGAACAATGATGCCAGCGCATTGCCTGTTCAAACCAACACAAAGATAATCTGTCAATCCCAAGGCCTTGAGTCCACGTGTGAGACCCTGGCGCACCTTCTGTGCCACAAATGCCAATGTTGGCCGCAAAAATAAATCCTGGGCAGTTTTGCAAATCCATTGGCCATCTTTGGTTCTCTCAACAGGAAACTGTGGGTTGAGAATTTGTACAATCCAAAGAGCCAATTCTAAGAAACTGACTGCCACAAAATTGTGTTGCATCGGCTCCTCAGCGATGCAAATTTGAATCAAACTGGAAACGAATTCAGCCGGCAGTGCTAGAGACTCATTGCGCAATCTCAGTTGATGCTGCCAGTCAACCGAAAGAGCATCGCCCAGTGGAACGTCTGAGATCTTCTGAATCCAAATGTCGGATTCATCCGTCAAGTCAATCACTTCCAGTGGTTCGGTCTTATGTTCCGCGATTTAGATATGCAGTTTGGAATCCCATTCCTTGTAGTAATCAGCCGCATCCGCCAACAAGCGCTCAAAGTCAGAACCCCTGTGGCGGTTTGCAAGCACTGCTTGAGCATCCGCTATGTTGTTCCAAGTGGCCAGAAACTCTTCATGGGAGGTTTCACAAAGAGAAATGTCAACATGTGAAGGGATCCAGCGAATGTCAATCTGATCGGCGTAAGTCTGCCTCAATGCAGCTGCAAGTCGTTGCCAAAGATCTTGGTTATCTCCATCATCAAGCCGGGAGTCATTCTGCAGCAATTTCAAAGCTTTGCTGCAAGTGCTCGCTGAGTCCGTCCAGATCACAACTTCAGCCTCAAAAGTGATGGCCCACTCCACAGCCGAGATCAGCGCCCAGAGTTCAGCTCTTCCAATGTAGCAAGCCACGGACACAACCATGACTTATGTTATCCCCATTGGTGGCATTGACAACAGCCCAGGCAGACCTATTAAGGTTAGGAACCGTCCCCGTGAAATGAGAACCATCAGTAAAAACATGGTTTGTGACTCCAGGCCTGGGAGCACTGTTGAACCTTCGGCTGGGATCTGGCAAGTCCATGAAATAGCGCTTCAGCGGCAGCACAAAAGGTGATCTTGGCGCCAGTAAGTGCATCGAAGCACACAATGGCAGTTCATCGACCCAATGGCAATAATATAATATAATATGATATGATATAATTGATATAATATAGTTTAATTTAATATAATACATTACAAAAATGCAATATCATATATATATAATAGTACAATATCAAATATGATAGAATACATAATATATTTTATATAATATATAATATGTAATATATTTTATATAATATATAATATGTAATATATAATATATAATATATAATATACAATAAATAATATATAATATATAATATAAAGTATCTAATATATACTATATAATATAATAAATTATTTCATATAAGATAGCAATATAATAAAATAAACAAATATAATATGATACAATAAAAATATATAATGTAATGAACAAAATATATAATATACTATAATCTAGTAAATAAATAGATAATCTAATATAATGTACTATAATATAGTAGAAGACAATAAAATATAATAAATTATATATAGTATAATATATACTATAATGTAAAATATAATATATAATCTGATATATAATAATATAAAGTCTATTGTAATTTCATGTAATGTCATGCAATACAATATAGTACAATTCAATACAATATAATATATATGATGTAATACATATATGATATAATATATGCATATACGATATAATATATACATATATGATATAATATATACATATATGATATAATATATACGTCTCTTTATATAGTATATATAATATAATATAATTTAATACAATAACATATTCTGGAATATAAAATAATATAATATAATGGAATATATTATAATAAAATAACATATAATATAATATAAAACACTGTAATGTAGTGTAATGTAATATAATATCTTTTAGTAAAATACAATACAATATAATATGTGATGTAATACATATTTAATATAATATATATACAGTATATATGTACATTGTATATATATAGTATATATAGTATATATAGTATATATAGTATATATAGTATATATAGTATATATAGTATATATAGTATATATAGTATATATAGTATATATAGTATATATAGTATATATAGTATATATAGTATATATAGTATGTATATATAGTATATATAGTATATATATATAGTATATATAGTTTTTATAGTATATATAGTATATATAGTATATATAGTATATATAGTATATATAGTATATATAGTATATATAGTATATATAGTATATATAGTATATATAGTATATATAGTGTATATAGTATATATAGTGTATATAGTATATATAGTATATATAGTATATATAGTATATATAGTATATATAGTATATATACTATATATAGTATATATAGTATATATAGTGTATATAGTATATATAGTATATATAGTATATATAGTATATATAGTATATATAGTATATATAGTATATATAGTATATATAGTATACATAGTATATATAGTATATGTAGTATATATATAGTATATTATATAGTATATATAGTATATATAGTATATATAGTGTATATATATAGTATATATATACTATATAGTATATATATAGTATATGTAGTATATATATAGTATATATATAGTATATGTAGTATATTTATAGTATATAAAGTATATGTAGTATATATATAGTATATAAAGTATATACAGTATATATAGTATATATAGTGTATATATAGTATATATAGTATATATAGTATATATAGTATAAATAGTATATATAGTATATATAGTATATATAGTATATATAGTATATATAGTTTATATATAATATAATGTAATATAATTTAAGATAATACTCAATATAGCATAAATATAATACAATATAACATATATATATATTATTTTATGTGTAATAATGATAATTCTTACTATCGTTATTCTTATATATATATACACACATATGATATCACAATTCAGCCAAATCCATATGTTGCGGGTACTTTAAGTATGTCCCCACACGGATTGGTGGCCCTTGCTGCACCATTTGACGGTACCTTGCAACTTGCAAATCAATTTTACCCCATTGAAGAAAACAACGCTACAAATCACAGCAGAAAATCACTGAATACATCTGGGGAGCTGCTGAACGTCCTCCAGTCATTGCAAGAATATATGTCAGATTAGATATCAGATAGAATGTCAAAAAATATGTCAGATGAAATGTTAAAATATCTATGAGATTAAATGTCAGATACCATGTGAAAATGTGTGAACAATTGCGATCATATATCTCAGATAAGATACCAGATCGAATGTCACAAAAATGTCAGATAACATGCCAGAAAATGGCCATAGAAATAGTTGATATACCCATGAAAAATGGTGATTTCCCATAGTTTTTTGTATGTTTACCAGGCCGGGTATGTCGGAGTGCAGTGGGAATCACTTGTGAACCGGCCACCGATGGATCGGCGGCACGCAGGAGCCGATGTCAGAGACCCTCAACCTGAAGGATTACTTGGCTCAAGTTGAGGCGGAAAAGATGGTCAGGGCGGAATTTTAGACCTTTTAGGCCATGGCCTTTGAACAATTGAGGCAATGTACATTATGTACATGGCCAGGATTTTTGTGAAGTCGGCTTCCACAGTTAAAAACTGCTCCATTGGTTGACCTTTCGAGAAAGCCACATCGGTGGAGACTGTTGGAACTCAACATCCGTGTGGTTAAACCACCCGGATGCCGCTGATGCCACAGAAAGCCAACAACTGCGACTCCGGCGTCATCCGGGAAACGCCATGAGAATCTTCGGTGAATGACGTGTTGTTTTTGTAAAAAATGTTTCGTCCATATGACCGGAGAATTGGAGACTGCTTTGTCTCCAACCTGGATGATTTTCCCCGTTGGACGTGCGAGATGTTCAGGCAGTGGTGGGAAAAACACGAAGGGTATCCCCGATCATGTTGGGATGGAGTGCGAGGAACATGAGCCAATGAGGTGCCAGTGTCTGTTGTGTTGGCAAGTTGACCGAAAGACGCAAAAGTGTATAGGGTTTACCCTCTGGTAATGACTAACATAGCTATTGAGAATGGCCGAGTCAAAATAGTGAGTTTTCCGATTAATAGCATGGTGGATCTTTCCATCGTTTTTAGTTAATGTTTACCAGGCCGGGTTTCAACATGGTGTTTTCTTCCTATGAACCGAATCAACCGAATCAATCTGTAGCTGTTTGAATGTAGAAATCAAGGCGTCGGAGACTTAGCAGCAAGATAGTGTCCTACTTGGCATCACCAATCGTTAGACTGCAACTATCCGATTATCCAAAAAAAATGGGCACCAAATCTGTTCTTGTCATATTCTTATCATCACCTTTCCTGAAGAGACAGCCGATTTCGAATTCAAAACGGGGCACCCCCTGCCGAGGTGATGAGGCTGCGGACCATGAAACGCAACGCGCGTTGCGAAACAGCTGCTGTGTGCCGCACTTTAAACACCCTTGGTTGAAGTTGAACATGCACGTTTTTTTTTTCCATGTTGATACCAACTGCTTTGGGAAATATTGTGATTGTAGAAATTATGATCATACTCTCATCTCATGCATTAAACACCCCCTGGGCCCTGGGCCCCCTTGGCCCATCCACCATGGTGTTCATATGATCTCTGTGGAGACTGTGCGTTTATGATATAAAAAGATGATCTCCGAGAGTGCCAATCTATGTGCTTTACATACTATGATGAACAAACATCCATATATATATATTTATATATATATATGGATCATATAGATTATTTATAGTTTCCCACACATGCTTTTTCGGGATTAGCCATCGTTTCACGGCGAACATGGGGTCACGAATCTGACGGCTCAGAGACTATGACTTTGTTCAATGTTGAGATTGGCAGCCGACAGGCACAGATATTGAGATGTTGCATGAGTTGGTTTTTTGGTGCTACACAAAAAATCACATAAAAGTTGAAGAAGTGAAGTTCCACATGTTTCTTTTTGCTGAACAACTTTCAGGTACACTGCCATTGTTTGGTTTGAGCTTCGGAGAACACACCTGACACAACCCCTACCATGAAACAATCAACAAGTCGCACTGTGGGCAGTCGAAACCAATCCAAAAGGGCTGCCGATTCAGGCAGTTGAGGCGGGGACGCTGGTTCTGTAATAGGGATCCACCTTTTCACCACGTTCATTTTGGGGCGAGTCTTAAGCCGCTATCATTGGGGGGGGCTAACATTTCGGCTGGTTGGTTAAAACCTCATGATCAAACATCACATCAATATGTCCTGATTTTACATTAGATGATATATCCATGTTGAATGCACCATGCCACGATACCGATCCACATGAAATTTTTTCCAGGCCTACCAGTGACCTTTCAAACCCTGAGTGGATCCAATCGGTCGCTTGTCAGGTGCCAAGGTCAATTTCGATTAGATGAAACCCGTCCTTTTTCGGGATGAAGTTGATGAATTCTCATCCATGGACCATAAACCATCACCATATATCCACACAATCCTACCATCTCAGAATGGGAATGTTGAAACCCTCTGGTAAACATACAAACAACTATGGAAAATCACCATATTTTATGGGTACATCAACTATCTCGACTGGGCCATTTTCAATAGCTTTTTGTATGTTTACCAGAGGGTATCATGGAACATGGTAATAAATAAATCAACTATTTCTATGGCCATTTTCAATAGCTATGTTACTATGTTAGTTTACCAGAGGGTATCATGGAACATGGTAATAAATAATAATAATGATTTCATGGAACATGGTAATAAATAAATCAGGTATTTCTATGGCAATTTTCAATAGCTATGTTACTATGTTAGTTTACCAGAGGGTATAATAAAAATAACAATAATAATTTCATGGAACATGGTAATAAATAAATCAACTATTTCTATGGTCATTTTCAATAGCTATGTTACTATGTTAGTTTACCAGAGGGTACCATGGAACATGGTAATAAACATGGAACATGATAATACATAAATCAACTATTTCTATGGTCATTTTCAATAGCTATGTTACTATGTTAGTTTACCAGAGGGTATCATGGAACATGTTAATATAATAATAATAACAATAATAATTTCATGGAACATGGTAATAAATAAATCAACTATTTCTATGGTCATTTTCAATAGCTATGTTACTATGTTAGTTTACCAGAGGGTATCATGGAACATGGTAATTAATAATAATAATGATTTCATGGAACATGGTAATAAATAAATCAGGTATTTCTATGGCAATTTTCAATAGCTATGTTACTATGTTAGTTTACCAGAGGGTATCATGGAACATGGTAATAAATGATAATAATAATTTCATGGAACATGGTAATAAATAATCATAGTTTCATGGGACATGGTAATAAATAAATCAACTATTTCTATGGCCATTTTCAATAGCTATGTTACTTTGTTAGTTTACAAGAGGGTATCATGGAACATGGAAATAAGTAATAAATAATAATAATATTTTAATGGAACATGGTAATAAATACATAAACTATTTCTATGGTCATTTTCAATAGCTATGTTACTATGTTAGTTTACCAGAGGGTATCATGGAACATGGTAATAAACAATACTAATACTAATTTCATGGAACATGGTAATAAATAAATCAACTATTTCTATGGTCATTTTCAATAGCTATGTTACTATGTTAGTTTACCAGAGGGTATCATGGAACATGGTAATAAATAATGAATAATAATAGTAATAATAATAAAAAAATAATAATTTCATGGAACATGGTAATAAATAAATCAACTATTTCTATGGCCATTTTCAATAGCTATGTTACTATGTTAGTTTACCAGAGGGTATCATGGAACATGGTAATAAATAATCATAATTTCATGGAACATGGTAACAAATAAATCAACTATTTCTATGGCCATTTTCAATAGCTATGTTACTATGTTAGTTTACCAGAGGGTATCATGGAACATGGTAATAAATAAAGTAATAGTAATATTGTGTCTTGCCTAACCTCTGTAACAGTCGTTAAAACAATTTCTTACTAAACATGCTTCAAATGGAGCACCAAAAAATTACGTTTTTTTTCACGGTTTTCTTCGTGCACCGAATCGTGCTTTTTTGTGGTTTTCTTCGTGCACCAAAGCGTGCTTTTTTCTGGTTTTCTTCGTGCACCAAGTCGTGCTTTTTTCTGGTTTTCTTCGTGCACCAAGTCATGCTTTTTTGTGTGCTTTCTTTGTGCACCAAACCGTGCTTTTTTTAAACTTTTCTTCGTGCACCAAATCGTGCTTTTTTCTGGTTTTCTTCGTGCACCAAATCGTGCTTTTTTGACTTTTTTGCGGTTTTCTTCGCGCACCAAATGGTGCCCTACTTCGTGCCACTGTTACAGAGGTTAGGCAAGACACAATAATAATAAAAATAATAATAACAAAATAAAATATTAATTTCATGGAACATGGTAACAAATAAATCAACTATTTCTATGGCCATTTTCAATAGCTATGTTACTATGTTAGTTTACCAGAGGGTATCATGGAACATGGTAATAAATAATAATAGTAATTTCATGGAACATGGTAATAAATAAATCAACTATTTCTATGGCCATTTTCAATAGCTATGTTACTATGTTAGTTTACCAGAGGGTATCATGGAACATGGTAATAAACAATAATAACAATTCTCATCGATGGACCATAAACCACCACCATATATCCATACATATCCTACAAACCATCTCAGAATGGGAATGTTGAAACCCTCTGGTAAACATACAAAAAAAACGATGGAATATCACAATATTTTATGGGTAAATCAACTATTTCTATGGCCATTTTCAATAGCTATGTTAGTTTACCAGAGGGTATCATGGAACATGGTTTATTGTTGTTGATTTCATGGTAAAAATAAGATCAGCAATAAGTTTGACTGTCAGGGCATGGAAGGCTCCAGCAGGGCAGCCCAGGGGCGGGCCCCATCGGGTGTGGGGTTCTACCAATGTGTTATGGGAGGGATATGGTGATATATCTGGGTAAATTATAACGACCTCACTGCGACCTCACTGGAATCATGGTTGGTAAGGGGAAACATCCCCAAGATAGCCTTATTTCAGGTTAGTGAATTTTTATAATTTACCCAGATATATGATGATAATATGGTGAAGAAATGGTGTTTAATATGGTGATCATATGATTGATATTGGATTTATTGAGCAATGGGATCTACCGTGGGGTTTTCAGCGATTCCGGCGCAGCCGGATATTCAGATCCGATTGAGAATCGTGATGAGATATGGGCGATTTCGTGTTTTTTCCCATACGAGAAATGGCCTTTTTGTGGCTTCGGGTTGAACGAGTCACACGATCGGAATCAATGGATGAATCCTGATACAGGATCTACAGGTGGGTCTCAGAACAAAGATGACCTGGGATCTTCAGCAACACTGACCTGGTAAACACACCTGGCGCCCTCAGGTGAGACCGTGGCCGTGGCCGCTGCCATCGATCGCTGCGATGAGGCGAGAAAAAGTGGGGACGTGTTTTTGGAAATCCGGTATTTAAATGATTTTAAATGTATTTAGTGGGGATATGATGGGATAATAGGATATACATGTATATATATATATACACACTATATATATATATATATTATACATTTGGATAACTGTGGCCACGACCGAACTCTGCGATGTCAGGTCGTAAATGATGGGATTAGAAATTGGGGGCATCAGTGCCAAACACTGCAGGTTGGTGAAGCACTATTCATAGTGCGTATATATGTTCCAGGTTTGGGGACCCCCCCTCCCACCCGAGAGATGACTGTTAGGAACTATGCGACAAAAGGCCTTTCACAGAAATGATCTGGAAAGAGATAAGAAACATTCATCCTTAGGATATAGCTCATTTTGCATGATAACTTGCTGCTACGCTTTGGCTCTTCACTTATACTTAAGCACACAGTTGCTTCTCTGCTAAAGGTTTTTGCAGTACCTTAGCATTGTCCAACCTGTTTCCTCAATGCTACAAAACATCCTTTAAATTGCAAACCCTGTTTCACAAGAAGCACAACCCCGCCAACTTCAACTTGAACACAAACTGCCGCTGGCTTCTACGGCACAAACTTTTCCCCCCGCATTTCCACAGACGCTTCTCTGCGCACTATAGACTTCCATTTGCATTTGCACAAGCACTGGGTTTGTTATGTGAACTTACTTCGAAGCCTTAAATCAAACTTCGAACCTATCTCATTTGAAGTTCGGCCCCCCTGTATGTATGCATACGTATGAATGCATGCCTGTATGTGTTTTTCTATGTATGTATCTATGCATGTATGCATTTAATATGTAATTCTGTATGATTATGTATGTCATGTCATGTTATGTTCTGTAATGTAACGTAACATAATGTAAGATAATGTAATGTAATGTAATGTAATGTTATGTATGTATATACATACACATGTACTTTCATCAATGTATTATAAGCATTTATAAACATAATACTTATGCATGCATGTTTCATCGGGTGCTCTATTTCTTCACAAGCGGAGCCGTCACATAGAACGGAACAGTCCAAGCCACGGGGGGAGGGGTGAGAACATTACATTACATTACCTTACGTTACATGACATACATAATCATACATAATTACATACTAAATGCCTACATGCATAGATACATACATGGAAAAACACATACAGCCATGCATTCATATGTATGCATACATTCAGGGAGGCACGCAGGGTTCGAGGGGTTCGCGGGGTTCGCGCGGTTCGCGGGGCGCGCGGGGTTCACGAGGTACTGCAGAAAACTTTAGCAGAGAAGCAAGTGTGTGCTTAAGTATAAGTGAAGAGCCAAAGCGTAGCAGCAAGTTATCATGCAAAATGAGCTATATCCTAAGGATGAATGTTTCTTATCTCTTTCCAGATCATTTCTGTGAAAGGCCTTTTGTCGCATAGTTCCTAACAGTCCATCTCTCGGGGGGAGGGGGGGGCTACGGGACCGGGGACCGGGATCATATATACCTGGGTGTGACTGAAAATGTGGCAGTGTGGATCCCCCAAAATCATGAAAGTAGTCATTCCAATAGGGAACGTGATAGACAATCCATTGCGGGGTAGCCTATTTTTCGACAAACCCATCGTTGATTTAGATGAACTCTGCTGCGTCCCAAAGCTTCTTCCGAGACTCTCGCGTCGTGTGTTCCGAGACGTGAATTCCCCACGGATTTCCCCACGATTTCCCCATGAATTTGTCATGATTAAATCCCCAACTCCCATATCATGCAATATATCCCACTAAATATTCTATGATCTCCCCATTTGGGTTCAATTTTTTCATGGCTAAAATCTAGAAAATTTCATGTTTCTTGCTGTTAAATCAGGGCAAATCACCTTAAATCATGTTAAATGCCACTGAGTGAGTTGATCAACTTCACCTTTTCATAGCTTCCTTTAGTCCGATCTTTTGTTCTCAGGGCACGCTGCGGCGGCTCTTGCAGACAGTGATTCGCAAGGTGATCAGATGGGGATCAGATGGGGGATGGGTCAAGTTCACATGAACATAGCTGGGATTTATGGGTGTTCATGCTCCTAATAATTCCGGCAAGAGACCCCAAACAGTGTGGGGCGGGGGAGTAGAAAGATCATGTATTATAATGTTGATGATGATGTTAATGTTGCTGATGATGTTGATGCTGACAATGATGTTGATGATGATGTTAATGTTGCTGATGAGGTTGACGATGATGATGATGATGATGATGATGATGATGATGATGATGATGTTGATGATGATGTTGTTGTTGTTGATGATGATGATGAGAGGATGATGATGATGATGATGATGATGATGATGAGATGATGATGATGATGATGATGATGATGATGATGATGAGAGGATCATGATGTTGAGGAGGAAGGACCGATCCCAAGACCGGGAAGCACACTTTGCGCGAGCCTGCGCAGTCGAAATGTACACGGACATTTCACAAGAGCCATTGTATGTGGAAATTTACAGGGAAAATGACGGACGGCAAGCCCGCGACACCCGTTTTGTGCGAGCCTGCGCAGTCGAAATGCATATGGACATGTCAGAAGAGGCATTTTGTGCGGAAATTTAAACGGAAAATGCCGGACGCTTCTCCCGCAACCAGCGTTTTGCGCGAGCCTGCGCAGTAGAAATGCACACGGACAATTTTACAAGAGCCATTTTTTGTGGAATTTACACGGAAAATGCCGGACGGCAAGCCCGCGACACCCGTTTCGTGCGAGCCTGCGCAGTCGAAATGCACATGGACATGTCAGAAGAGGCATTTTGTGCGGAAATTTACACGGAAAATGCCGGACGCTTCTCCCGCACCCAGCGTTTTGTGCGAGCCTGCGCAGTCGAAATGCACACGGACATTTCACAAGCGCCATTTTATGTCGAAATTTACAGGGAAAATGCCAAACGCCCTGGCCTTAACGCCTACCGTAAGAACCCCTCAGTGTGGACACATTGTTTGGGGAAAAAGCGGGTATGTATAGGTATTGATCCATAGCCATATGGGGATGGGTCAAGTTACCTGTGAAATTTCCATCTTTGGGGAACAGCCATGAGCTAATCATTTTGAGACACTATAGGGTACATGTGGGGTTCACCCAATGCAATGTTTACCGTTCCAGTCGTCATCACCATCTTTTTTGGTGGTATGTTTAGCATCCCCAAATGGTCTATGGCAGCCAGGGTTGCCCATATTAATGGGGATACACCCCAAACCATTGATCTGAAATATATGGAATCATCGGATGAATAAACCAATGACTGGGATTGATACAGGGAAATAGCCCATCATGATACAATAGGATATTTTTAACCATCTAACAGTTTTATATTCCATCGCATCCTCATCATAGCCCACGTGTTCAATAATCTATGACTGGGATTGCGAAGATCAATATATGGAATATATATATATGATATATATATATAACGTGATATATTTGGCTATCTTCACACCCAGAAAATATGGGGATATGATGGGGTGTATCATTATATAAACAATGTGATGGGATATAACGGGATATAGTGATTAACTATTTTAATTTCGATATATATTGGCTATACTGGGATATACGTATATGTACATATACATATACATGTAGGGTTTTTACCTTGATTTAAACAATCGAATCATACTGGGTAATCCATAGGGTTTCAGCAACAAAAAAGGGGGATACAACAGGGATGCGACCAACAATATGGGATGTATCCAACCATATCAGGGTTGCTCCAACCCATGATACCATTGATTTTTGAAGGGGCCACGATTATTGTTTGCCTCGAGAGCCTGATTGTCAAATCCAGTCCTCATTGTTTTCCATGGCAATTTGTTGGGGGAGTGTACCTCATTTTCAGACAAGATATAAAGCTTGGTACAAGTATGTACAAATCGAAAACATCATAGTTTCACGTACCTCGGATGCAGTGGACAAATTGGCATCGGAATGGAACCAAGAATAATTTTCGGATATGTTCACCAGCTGAAATGATTTTATTATTGACAACTCACAGACCAAATTCTTGATCTCCGGAAAAAAAACACGTCCAGTACTTGAACGAAACGGCAGTTTCTCCAGCGCAACACGCTTTATGTCGCTTTGAAATCCAGTTTTTTTTTCTTCCAGCCCTTCAACCGTTTCGGAACCCTGGCGAAATTTGAGCGACCAAAGTTGGCCGATCTCAGCACCTTTCCATTTCCGTGTCCCAAATCCATTCATTAATCATATTTCCCACTAAATAGCCACTTTGGCGGGTATACTCCATCTTTAGACATACCCAGATATCACATTGGTCATATATATATATAAAATATAATAATATATAATATATATATATAATATAATAATATAATATATATATATAATATATATATAACATATATATATATATATATATATTATATAATATATAATATATAATATATAATATATAATATATAATATATAATATATAATATATAATATATAATATATAATATATAATATATAATATATAATATAATATATATATATATGTATGTTATGTATACGTCTCTACCCATTCTATCCCCAGGACAAATTCATATCTTCTTGGTGTCAGGATTTTCACTCACCCACTGCCCAGGTGCCGGAGTGCCGACGGAAGATTGCCGAGGACCAGCTGGTTGAAATACCGTGGACTTGTGTATATATGTATATATATACACATACATTGATCACCAGTATTGATAAGAGAATCAAATTCCACTAGACTAGTGTTTAATTACTTTTCGGCATCTTCTTCGGGGGTGACTATATCTATATATATATGTATACGTATGTAGCTCTGGAAATGAAACACAGCAATGGACAATAGCCACTTGGCCGGTTCGGGGATTTCCCAGCTCACTTGGTGAATTCCATGGTTTATGCGGGATGTCACGAACTACTATGGATGGAAGGTTGAAAACGGTGATAAACATCCCATTATTTACAGGGTTTCAACTAGTTTCAACCATCCGTTTGGTGGTGCAGGATTTCGGTGGCCCATCCACAGTAGTATTCAATTAGTATTCATTGGGTGAAACGTAACTAAACCAACAAACAAAACTAGGGGGGGCCTCAGCTGGCAGTCCCCCGGGTTGTCACTGGAATGATGATTGGTGAAAGCTGGCAACCCCGTAAACTTACGATATGGAGATGGTTTTTCCATACCAGCCATTCAAATGGTGACTTGGGGATGGTAGACATGGCACTGGATGAATCCCATATTCTACTATCATTTATCCAGATATTTTAGGAAATGAGCATCCAGAATCCCCAGCGAAAATTTTGGTGTGAACAGGCACGTCAAGGGGTTAGATGTGCTGATTCCCCATGACATTTGATGGCCATATCACATGAATTGGGCATGTTCAAGCCCTAGGACGATCAATATTGTTGCTTCATACCCACTATGAATATCCCCCGATATCCATGAATACGCCTAAATATCCATGAAGACCCATGAATGTTGCTGGGCATTTTTGCTGGTTTCCCCCATCTTCCCCATCCCTGCTCCCAGATCTCCCAGATTCGTCAAAGGACGTTGGACTTAGCGCAGAGCTGTACCAAGTCTCAGAAGAGGAACGCCAAAAGGCGCCGTTGGACGAAAGCGCGGTGTTTCACGTGGAACGCGAAACGTGGAGAGCCCGGGCAAGTCGGGTGACGGAAGTTTCCGGAAGGCAAGAAGAGGAAGAGCCTTTTTTGGAACGATGCGATACTTGTTTGCTGTGGAAACACATATACCCAATCCCACTACATACTACATACCCACTATATGTCCACCATGGTTATTTTATATACCGCATAGCCATTATCCATATAAATAGTATCATCCCATATTGTCAACCATTTCTTTCTGTGGCCGGATGTCGATGTAGGCCACAGCCGATCAGTACAGCGAGAAGGTCATTAGTCTCTCGACAGCATCGGCATTTTTATCAGCGACGAAGAATGGGGATTTCACCAACAGTGGCGGACAGACTACAGCCAATAGCACTAGAACATTTGCAACCAATGAGAATCAGAGATGTCATTGATATCATCAACAAATCAAGGGCCTACCCTCTGGTTATTTTCCAGGTAGCCATGGAAGTCATCACTTCATCAGTGACGACGATTCGAATCATGTTCATCGAAATCAATGGACCATGTTACATATGGGATATATATATATATAGGTATATGTACGTATATGCATCATGATGTACCATGAAACATTACAATATACAGTATACATATCAAATCATATAAATACGTATATATATAGACTATATCTACTTTAGGTAAGGTCCTCGCTTTGGAATGCGCCGAAACGCATCGCTCCATATGTATATATATATATGGTACCCCCCCCTGATACCCACCTCACATTGATTCAAGAAGTAGGTTTTTAATGATCTACTGTATATGTATGTAAAAAATGTATGTATATATATATATATAAATAAATGTATGTATATATATATATGTATACATATATATATATACACTTGCACGTCACTTGGTACTATGTGGTTAAATAATTTGGGTACTTAGGCAAATTGCACACAGAGAAAAATTGCAATTTTTGCAATTTCCAGACCCCAAATTCAAAGATTCAAAGATTCAAAGATTCAAAGGTTGAAAAGAAGTTCTTTGAATCGAAGCCCCCAAAATTCAAAGATTCAAAGATTCAAAGGTTGAAAAGAAGTTCTTTGAATCGAAGCCCCAGACCCAAAATTCAAAGATTCAAAGATTCAAAGGTTGAAAAGAAGTTCTTTGAATCGAAGCCCCCAAAGATTCAAAGATTCAAAGGTTGAAAAGAAGTTCTTTGAATCGAAGCCCCAAAACCCCAAAGATTCAAAGATTCAAAGATTCAAAGGTTGAAAAGAAGTTCTTTGAATCGAAGCCCCAAACCCCAAGTGAAAGATTCAAAGAACTTCTTTTCAACCTTTGAATCTTTGAATCTTTGAATTTGGGTTTTGGGGCTTCGATTCAAAGAACTTCTTTTCAACCTTTGAATCTTTGAATCTTTGAATCTGGGGTCTGGGGCTTCGATTCAAAGAACTTCTTTTCAACCATTCAAAGATTCAAAGATTCAAAGGTTGAAAAGAAGTTCTTTGAATCGAAGCCCCCAAAATTCAAAGATTCAAAGATTCAAAGATTCAAAGGTTGAAAAGAAGTTCTTTGAATCGAAGCCCCAAAAAAATTCAAAGATTCAAAGATTCAAAGATTCAAAGGTTGAAAAGAAGTTCTTTGAATCGAAGCCCCAAACCCCAAGTGAAAGATTCAAAGAACTTCTTTTCAACCTTTGAATCTTTGAATCTTTGAATTTGGGTTTTGGGGCTTCGATTCAAAGAACTTCTTTTCAACCTTTGAATCTTTGAATCTTTGAATTTTGGGGGCTTCGATTCAAAGAACTTCTTTTCAACCCTTTGAATCTTTGAATCTTTGAATTTTGGGGGCTTCGATTCAAAGAACTTCTTTTCTTTTCCTTTGAATCTTTGAATCTTTGAATCTTTGAATCTTGAATTTTGGGGGCTTCGATTCAAAGAACTTCTTTTCAACCTTTGAATCTTTGAATCTTTGAATTTTGGGGGCTTCGATTCAAAGAACTTCTTTTCAACCTTTGAATCTTTGAATCTTTGAATTTGGGGTCTGGAAATTGCAAAAATTGCAATTTTTCTCTGTGTGCAATTTGCCTAAGTACCCAAATTATTTAACCACATAGTACCAAGTGACGTGCAAGTGTATATATATATATATGTATACATATATATATATACATACATTTATTTATATATATATATACATACATTTTTTACATACATATACAGTAGATCATTAAAAACCTACTTCTTGAATCAATGTGAGGTGGGTATCAGGGGGGGGGTAGCATATATATATATGTACACACTGTATATATATATGATATCATGTCTCCTATTGCCGGAAGTTAGATTCAAGTCACAAGCTGCTACCGGAAGGTTCCAAAAGGTCACAGTGTAAAAAAGCGTGGATGCCGAAAACTTTGAATCACCAAATTTGTCTCGCAGTATATGTAGAGATATAACTGTATATGTATATGTGTATGTATATGTGTATGTATATATATATATACACATGGGGGTTTCTCACAATGGGAGATCCCCTAAATCATCCAAAGTAGACCATTTTACACAAAAAAGATCATTAATATCTACACATTTAGATGCCTTCATGTTTTCTTTCCTCTGAAAGCCTTGAAAGCCCGAAACGGAAAGCCCGTGATTTCCCAGGCGGCAAGACGGCGACGCGGACCTCTTCGGACGCGGTGGACTTCTGCGAACGCGCCAAGTTCGTGCCAATGAGGCACTCGCATGGTGGTTTCGATGGGGAAAACTGGTGTTTTGATGGGGAAAACATGGGAAAACATCATCAAAATAGTATCCTGGAAGATGTGAAAAAAATGGGCATCTGATTTGGGGTTACTAAGTTGGTTAGCTCAGTTTGGTTAACTAAACTAGGATCTATGGTGATCATAACAGTGGCTGTGATGGGATAAAGTGATTTTGAACTGGGGGGGCACCACTTCGTATATGTAATTGTGGGGATGTATTGGGACTATCATGGGGATATCCCAATACAGATAGGTTTTTTTTAATATTTCATGGGATATCCCAATACTATCATGGGGAATATCCCAATAATTGTATGGGGATATCCGTGTTTCATATCTGAAAATGGGCTGCTTGCCATCAATAAAATGGCAAGTTTGAGTCGGAGATGATCAACCGATCTGTCGTTGATCTCTGAGAATTTGAGGATTCCCCGGACCCAACAATTGCCATTTGGATTGGTGATGAGGTTTTAAACCTTGCAAAAAAACGGTGTTTTTTTAAATATGCAGATGCACCATCTGGCCCATTTTGGATCATTTTTGGGTCGGATCTCCTCGGTTTACGAAATCCTCAGCACTGGTTGAGTCCCTGTTTGAATCGTCCAATCGCTGAAATTCCAACGATTTGCTGGTGAGAATCCAGGTCTGAGTCAAATCTCCATTGTTTGCCGGTTGAATCTCCAGCGATTTGCTGCAGAAATCCACACCAATTTGGATGGTTCGTTGGTCCAATTTCTGCTGATCAAAATTCCCATGGAAATTCCTAGTTTTATTCATTGAGCTTGCTGAATCTCAATGTTTGACGCTTAGGGGACCTCCCAAGCATCAAGTGCTATCTATGTGTGTTTTGGACACCTAACGACTTTGACCTCGGGATTTGCTGCTGGAACAAATGTGATGTCTGTTTTGGGGTTACCTTGTATCAGTTATAGTTATGATTATGCCATGACTGACACCCTTGGAATGACCATGATTTTGAGGATGTGAATGAACCAGGTTTTAAGCTACCCAGTGTTCGGTTTCGTTTGGTTTAGATACATCTTTATATCTACTACATTTGGATAGATTAGCAGCAAAAATGCCCATCTCCAAAAACACAGAAAGTGCTCCAAGCTGTTCCAAAACTCAATTTTTGGTGCACCTGAATGCGTCCCAAGTGATGAAACCTGGGAAGAAACCTGGTGAATTCTGGTCATTGCCGTGGATGTTGATCAAAGTTGGTACTCGTGGTGAGCAAAATGTGTGCTCTAATACCACAAATGGAAGAAATGAAGGGATGTTTGAAACGTTTACCAAATAATAGGGATATTAAACTAAATATTATGCATCATCAACCATGTATCTTTTGGAACGGACTGGAATCATTGCTTAAAATCTGGAGACCCCAATTCTATCCGATTCTATCGTATTCTGAGGTTCTGCAGTCATAGTACCCATCATCATTACCATTCTAGTTTGTTACCAAAATTGTTAGCAACTCTGCAGCACTTTGTAGGCTTCGAACAACTATTCTTTATTCAACAAATCAGTGAGATACTGTAAGTGAGCAGCTTCAAAATCCCCGGGTGGTTCATGATGTTTCCGGTAGTGATACGACCCGTTATATATTCTGCATCCCCATTATTCCCCATTATTCATGGATATATCCCCCTATTCCATTAAAACCCATTTCATAAACTGGGAAAGTCCAGCTTGTCAACTGGCAGATTGACCTACGATGAGCGCAAGTACTTGAGACTTATCGATGCTACGATGCATGCCACTTGGCACAGGGAAGTTTCCCCAATGGGTAAACTCCACATCTCGTGTATGTAAACGTTTTTTTTTGGTTGGTGGTTTCAAACATTTTTTATTTTCCATTTCATATATGGGATGTCATCCGAAACCCATTGACGAACTCATATTTTTCAGAGGGGTAGGGCTCAACCACCAACCAGTTTAAGGCAGGGTACCTGAAAATTGGCTATCTCCAAGAATGGCACCTTTGCAATGTTTAGATCGAACGAGAACGAGAACAAAACTATCGACCTCGGATGAATGGCAGCCGCTGGTTTACCAATCAACAATAGTGGTTAATGATGGTTAATACTGGTGATTAATGGTGATTAATGGTAATGTGGGTAAAGCATTGCCATTTTTACCACAAAAATGACTGGGAATGGGATTTCCATACCACCTATAAAAATTGTTATTTGGGGGATGGTAAACATGATTGTTTTAACCACATTTATAGCATTTGCACGTTAACAGCATTTGATTATTTGATAATATATTACTTGTTACTCGTTGCTTGATTGGGGGCTAGGTATGGGTCCATTGGTGCCATCGTTTTGACCCATTCCCACATCACTGTGATTATGTCGGCAGTGGACAGTCCCCCAATTTATAAGCTATTTTCTCACTCAAACACCATGTATAGAGGATTTCCCAGCAAAGCCCAGGTCCACAACTAGGAAAAACATCAACGACAATTTCCAAAACATCTACGCCTATATTTATATATTTGACCCGCCTAAGTCCCAGAAAACTACCTAGAGTCGGCTCCCAGAAAGCTTTTATGACACCAGAGGGTAATGGAGAAATACAAGATGGACCAATATGGAATGTACCTAATATATGCAATATTTATGATGTTGGAAATTCATTATATGGATCACACGCACACATATATATATATACATGTATATATAAATAATTATAAACATTACTATTACTATCACATTACTACTACTATTGCTATTACTATAACTATTATTATTATTACTATTATTATTACTACTATCACTATTACTAGTACTATCATTATTACTATTATTAGTATTAGTATTTATTATTAGTGTTAATGTTATTGTTACTGATGCTATTTTACTATTATTACTATTGTATATTATTCTAGCTCCAAGTTACCCAAATTCAGAAAATTTACATATACCAAGAATCCATCGTACTCCAGACCTGTCTCTTTGGACCCATTGTTTTCCCAACCTGTTTCCCTGTGTGTGACATGTTTCACACCTGTGAATTGACTGGTTGCGGTGGGAAGACCTTTCGGCTCAATTTGGAAATTGTTTGGCACCATGTCGATGCCTTGTGTTGTTGCTGAAATGCTATGGAGCCTGGATGAGCTAAAGCGTGCCCTGACAAGTGAGTTTCCCATTTTGGAGACTGAAGAAGGAGAGGGTTTCAAAATATTGTTTGACTTCTTTGTTGAATGGGCTGAAATCCTGTTAAATTACAACAACCAGCATCCGCTCTGTTGAATTTGGGGAATTGTGGCCCAGAATCCTTCTCTCAGGGGATTTCCGGCCGCGCATAGTCATGTGGCATCGCACTCGAGGGGTGTCATCGCACTCCAGAAGACCCCATCGCACTCCACATACATACTCACAGATCATCGTACTCCACAAAGGGGATCGTATACCAGAAAAACCTTCGCATACGGCACATAAATATATTGGAAGAAAAAATGAACCTGAAGATTTTTTTTTGTTTCCCCCTTCGGAGGTAAAATCCTCTGGAATATGATAATATGGAATATGGGGGAAATCTTGTTTTTTCCAGCGTTTCGAAGAGTCGCGCGTACAATCGTATTTTATCAAATTTTGATACTTTAGACCTGTGGAGGCTATGGAAATCCTCGGTTGTGGTGTTAGTCGTGCAGGATGGAGTGTGATGCTTTGTGGGTATATGGAATTGAATTTGTGACCCCAATTTGATCAAATTACTTTACTTCGAGTCATCCCCACCATGACATTTATACGCTTTGTTACTGGCAAATCTTCTGGCATTCTATCTGACATATCTTCTGGCATTCTATCTGGCATATCTTCTGGCATTCTACCTGGCATATCTTCTGGCATATGTTCTGGCATATCTTCTGGCATTCTATCTGGCATATCTTGTGGCATATTATCTGGCAAACCTTCTGGCATTCTATCTGGCATATCTTCTGGCATTCTATCTGACATTCTATCTGGCATATCTTCTGGCATTCTATCTGGCAGATCTTCTGGCGTTCTATCTGGCATATCTTCTGGCATATCTTCTGACATCCTATCTGGCATATCTTCTGGCATTCTGTCTGGCATATCTTCTGGCACTTTATCTGGCAAATCTTCTGGCACTTTATCTGGCATATCTTCTGACATTCTATCTGGCATATCTTCTGGCATTTTATCTGGCATATCTTCTGGCAATCTATCTGACATTCTATCTGGCGTTCTATCTGGCATATCTTCTGGCGTTCTATCTGACATTTTATCTGGCGTTCTATCTGGCATATCTCATGGCATTTTATCTGGCATATCTTCTGGCATTCTCTCTGACATGCTATCTGGTGTTCTATCTGGCATATCTTCTGGCAATCTATCTGGCCATTGAGGTCCAGCGGTGCTCACTGAGCTCGGAGGGTCCCAGGTTGAGGTCCAGCGGTGCTCACTGAGCTCGGACGGTCCCTGGTTGAGGTCCAGCGGTGCTCACTGAGCTCGGAAGGTCCCAGGTTGAGGTCCAGCGGAGCCCACTGCGCTCAGACCCTTGCAGTTGAGGTCCAGCAGTGGCCACTGCGTGCGGAAGTTGGCGAAGAGCTTGGCGAAGAGTTGGCAAGGCGGAAGTGGACATGGAAGTGAAGGCAGAGGTGGTGGAGGAGAAGGAGGAGGAGAAGAAGGAGGAGGAGGAGAAGGAGAAGAACAACTCTGGTAAAATCTAACAACCCTCACCTGGCAGGTGGGGAAAAAGATGTCAACATATGCTTGAGAATCCCACATGCAGGACGCAACGCATACCAGGGGGGCATCGTACTCCAGGGGGCCATCGTACTCCAGGGGTGGCATCCTACCCAATGCAACTAACTGTATTATATAAGTGGAAATATGGTACCATTTGGGTTCGAGGAAGAACAGCGTAATCCAGACTTGGCCCAGTTTACGGATACGGAAGCTGAACCGCCAGCCAAACGCGTCAAAAAATAATCTGAACAGCTTATCCAATGGTCTTAAAAGATCCTAGAGAAAAGTTGATGATTGATGAGAGAAACAAGACTCAAGACTTTATGTTTATTCAAGAAATCATTGCTTGAGAAGCTGTGGACTCAAAGGATCTTAGCGGGGTTAAACATGTGCGATTGGACATGACAGCACATGACAAGGAACGGCTTTGGAATACGGGTAAGATTTTGATAGAATTATTTATTATTCATTACTTATTGTCAATAATAATTATTGTTATATACATTAAAACATATTGCTTATACAGTGAAATATCCCATGAATTTCTACTCCATTGGACCCTTACCGTTGGATCTGGCCTCGAGGTCTCTCACTACACGGATCACATGGACACGGCGCAGAACGTCAACGCCAACGCAGCCCGAAAGCTTGCGTTCCACGGTACATTACCATTGGATCCTGGGGGTTTCCGGCAGATTTTCCGACGCCGGGATGGGTCTTGGGGTGTCCTGATGTCGACCCATTTTTTGGGGCTAGAAATGGAACCACAAAAGTGGTCATTTCAAGTCAACATCGTTCAATGTTCGCCCTGACCCCCTGAAACACCAACGTTGCCCCTGAAAACATGAAAAAATCGCATGGGTCTCCAGATTCGTTCAGTTCAAGGGTTGCCTCGCTTTGTATCTCGCCGAGATCCCGTCCGCTGAGTTTGCTCAGATTGTGAACCGAACGCCCCATTTGGCGGGTCAAAGAAACATTTTCTGAGACATACCCTCTGGTAAACATACAAAAAACTATGGAAAATCACAATTTTTAATGTGTAAATCCACTATTTCTATGGCCATTTTCAATAGTTTTTTGTGTGTTTACCAGAGGGTAAATGGAGAGATATCATATCCCCACTAGCTGTTTTCTATGATTTTTCTTTGAGGTACGTCGTAGGTGATGTTTGGGTTGCAATGATTCAATTTGTGAATAATTTCATCACTTTCAGGCCATTTCACAACTTCGTAGTGTCGGAAAATTGCTGCTCCAATATTCATTGTCGTCACTCAGTGCCATGCAATTTTGGTGAAATTTCTGTGGAGTTTGTAATTGTTGGTACACCTTTCCTTTTCTCGGCATTGCGGTAGATTTGGTTTCGTCTGAGAAATAAGGTACCCGTAAATTCATTGGTCAATCACACATTTTTCCTGCTATGTTTTCCTTATGAAAGTTGCGCTTTGACGCGGTCATATCCCCCATAATTTTTCAGACGCACTTATGTACATTCCGCCCATGTGAGCGCCGTGCCATTGCTGCCCATGTCGGAGAAAGCCGAGGTGTGGCCGTGGGATCGGAGCTGACACAGCACATGGGAAGGTAAACAATTCACGCATTTTCCCAAGCAAAAAGGGGGATTGAGCGGATGTGACCAACTGCAAATATCAAAAACACAACTCTCCCAAGTTAAAGCGTAGTTTGATCCCAAGCCGCTCAACTCAACTTCAAGACCATGACTATGTTCTTTGATGCATCGCCGCTCACTCGAAGAAACCTTGATTCCATTGTCGTGGTTTAAAACATGTTTTTTTACATATATTTTCCATGGTTTTCCTGTGGTTTTCCTGCATCAAATCCTTTTTTTCCCCCACTGCAATGGCCATTTTTGGAGGCTTCTCCCCCTTTTCCGAGATGAAGCATCCCTCGTTCGCCAGGCGAAAGGTGACTCGGAGACGGCTTCGGACCCGGGATCCATGGGATCCATCGACGAGGAGAAACACGTGGACCTGGACCGTGACTCCGGCAGGTTTGCCGATGATTGATTTGGTAATGGCTAACAGTTTTTTCCCCACCTGCCAGGTGAGGGTTGTTAGATTTTATCAGAGCGCATGCCCGCCCGCCGCCTCTTCCTCCTCCTCCTCCTCGACTAGCTCTCCTCCTTGCCCGCCTCCTCGCCTCTGCCTCTTCCACCTCCACTTCCGCCTTGCCAACCTTGCCAACTCGTCGCCAAGCTCTTCGCCAACTTCCCAGCTCAGTGCGCACTGCTGGACCTCAACCTGCGAGCTGCCCAGCTCAGTGTGCACCGCTGGACCTCAACCTGCGAGCTGCCCAGCTCAGTGTGCACCGCTGGACCTCAACCGGGGACCTGCCCAGCCCAGTGTGCACCGCTGGACCTCAACCGGGGACCTGCCCAGCTCAGTGTGCACCGCTGGACCTCAACCTCAGTGTGCACTGCTGGACCTCAACCTGGGACCTGCCCAGCTCAGTGTGCACCGCTGGACCTCAACGGCCAGATAGAATGCCAGAAGATATGCCAGATGGAATGTGAGATAGAATGCCAGAAGATATGCCAGATAAAATGCCATGAGATATGCCAGATAGAATGCCAGAAGGTATGCCAGATAGAATGCCAGAAGATATGCCAGATAGAACGCCAGAAGATCTGCCAGATAGAATGCCAGAAGATATGCCAGATAGAATGTCAGATAGAATGCCAGAAGATATGCCAGATAGAATGCCAGAAGGTTTGCCAGATAATATGCCACAAGATATGCCAGATAGAATGCCAGAAGATATGCCAGAAGATATGCCAGATAGAAGGCCAGAAGATATGCCAGATAGAATGGCAGAAGATTTGCGAGATAGAATGCCAGAAGATATGCCAGATAGAATGCCAGATAGATTGCCAGAAGATATGCCAGATAGAACGCCAGATAGCATGTCAGATAGAATGCCGGAAGATATGCCAGAACATATGCCAGAAGATATGCCAGATAGAATGCCAGAAGATATGTCAGATAGAATGCCAGAAGATTTGCCAGTAAGAAAATGTATAAATGTCATGGTGGGGATCACACGAAGTAAAGTAATTTGAACCTGAAAATGGCACATTTAGTTAATTTAGTTCGTTGATTTACCGAATTTAAATATGGTGATTTTCCATAGCCATGTTAACGTTTACCAAAGGGGAAATTGATCTGTGATTCCACACTTGATTGCGGAATATATGATCGTGGTTCCACCACTTGATTATAGCCTTCTATAAGAAGTTCTACTGTAGCCTACGTGGTAAGAAATCATGATAAATCTGTTTGTGAACAGTCCCATGAGCATCCCCATTGTTTCGCCATCATTTTGGCTATCTACCCATATCTACCCTAATCTCAAGGAAGGTTTACCCTGAAATCTAATTTTTCACCACCGAAAAACAATCTATTGGCAGTATATCCCCGTTTCAGCATGGTTAAACCATATGAAACCTCCATTTTTGATGGTACCCCCCCCAACTACTTGTTGGTTCACTTCCATTCCGATGTTCGCTTCCGCCACCAGCACGATTTTCTAAGGGTCATAATCTCTGATTGGTGCTTTGGAACCATGGACTTTTTATGACTTTCCCTGGGAATGTCATCATCCCAACTGACTTTCTCCATCATTTTTCAGAGGGGTAGGGCTCAACCACCAACCAGATTATTATTAACCATCATTAACCATCATCATAGCCATTAATTAATTAACCATTAATATTAATAGTGTATGAAACCAACTCAGTAATCATTGATAAACCATATTATTCAAGATCATTAACCATATAATAACCATATATTAACCAGAGGGGTAGGTGGCTCAATCAGCTGATCTATGTGAAATCAGGCGAAGCCAAGCGCCGGGCGAAGGTGGAGACCTCAAGAGATCGGGAGATCGCCATTTCTGGTGAAAAATGTTGGACTTAAGTCTGGTACTTTCACGGGATTTCATGGGAATACATATATCATTAATCATATATAAGTTATATAATGTTATATATATATAATATAATCATAAATGAATATGTGTATATATATACACACACACTCACAATGATATAACTATTGGATATCCCAAAAATAGATCCCAACCATGCAAGAATTTGGAGATTTGAAGCAGCAGCCAGGGGAGGTTTTACACGGTTTGTAAGCAGTAAACATATCTGGGAAAATTATAGCGACCTCACTGCGACCTCACTGGAATCATGGTTAATAAGGGAAATCATCCCCAAATGGCCTTAATTCAGGTTAGTGAAATATTATAATTTACCCAGACATATGTTAAAATGACTGGTGACTGGGGTTGCAATCACCAACCAGATAAGAACAACTGGGGGGGTTCAACATGTTCAACCGAGCAAGATAGGTGATTCAACGAATTTATTCGAAGGAGCTTTGAACAGCTTTTTCTTGAGGTTACCGGTGAAAATTTTGTTCAGAAACTATGTAACATTCACAATTTTAAGTGTAACTTCGAGTCATTCTAGGAGAGTAAAGTACGCAAACTGATGTAAACTAGGTAAACCCAATCACAAACTCAGTCATTGGCCAGCGATTTATCTGGGGGCATAAACTCATCATCCCAGTCGTGGTACGGTTTTTTCACAGTGGCATAAACCAAAATTGGGGATGGCTGGGATGGCATTAGTTTACTTACTGGTGCGTTTTACGCAGGTAATTTTCGGGAATGATCAGTCATCACATTCGTAATGTCATCATCCCAGCAACCCCCAGCAACCCATCCAGCAACCCATCCAGCAACCCTACGTTTAGCACGCACCAGTTTACCACATTAAACTAGGTAAACCAGCAGTTTCCGGGGCTACGACCTCAACCTGTTGACCTGGGCAACAAAATACAGGGAAGATGACTGATGAACCAATGGATGGAACGGGCTAGCCTGTTTTTAAACCTATATTTAGAGTATACACTTCGCAAAATGTAACATCAACACCCAAAACGTGTTTTCAACCTAAGTAGAATCTAGGATTACGAAAGTGGGAAGCACCTTCGAAAATCAGCTTATTCAAAATCAGCTTACTTCAGGCTTGTGAAGCAGAATGCAAATCTGGCTGACCTTATGATTTCAGGTATAGTTCGTTTGTTAGTCTGTCAGTTGGTTGGCTAGTCAGCTAGTTAGTTAGTTTAGTTGGTTGGTTACTTTTATATACTATTTTTAGTTATTTATTATGCATTCACCTAGATTTTTAGCCACTTTATTTAGATAGTCGGTTGGTTAGATAGTTCGATACCTGGTTGGTTTGTCAGTTACTCGTAGCTATTTAGTTGGGTAGTAGATAGATAGTTTGACAGGCAGTCAGTCCTTTGCCCATCACTTCGTTAGCTAGTTTACTTCTGAATAGTTCTACCCAGGAACTTGTTCCATCATTGCGCTAGTATTATATATATACACATATCAGACATATATGATATCATATAGATCACAGACCTAAACAGCAACCACACATTTTCCTCTAACATCGCTTGAGTCCGATCCCAGTTGGCATCCCAATGGAAGCCGAAAAAGACATATTTATAATTGTGAGCTCACCAAAAAAGATAAATTCTATGAAATTGTTAAATTCCAAGTATCATGAATTTAGATGAACCATTTGGTCCATTTGGTCATCTAGATTTCCCAATTCACCTTAAAAAGTAACGTGGTTCTTTCGGCGTTGCAGCCGGGATTTCCCGGGAGACCTCCGAGGCTCACCCGGAGGAGTCAGAAGTTGATTCCTCCGAAAGTGGTGACGAGGTGCCGTAAGTTGGTCTGAACCATGGATGTATCAATGTATAGCATGGGTTTTTTCCATTCATAATATGGAGTAATTATACCATGGATGTGTTTTTTTTCAATGGGCTTAATGAATGATTTAGATATGATGGCATTTGTTAAATTGCATCTTCCCTATATGATGTGCATGAAAATCGCCATCAAATGGGTCATTTTGATAGGAACATGACGATGAACCAATGGACTTAGAGGTCGCCTATTTTCAGACAAACCTGGTAGTTTTAGGAACTTCGTTTCGAACTTCATCAGTGGTTCGCAGCCAAGGGACCCTTTGTTTTTTTTTTCCGCTTTTTGGAGGATTTTGTGGTAGTTCAGGGTTTGCCCCATTTTCAGACACAGCCATATGGGAAAATCGTCCATACAGAGATCTTTTGACCCCAAGCACGGGACTTTCCATTGCCACGTTGGGTGAAGGGGAAACCCGGCTGTTTCCCGATATTGGGGGTGCCCCGCAACATGAAAACATCAACAAACTGGAATATTTTGGGTTCCCAAGACATCTACATGGCAATGAAGTTCTTTGGATTTCTTTGATACCTCAAAGCCATTCTTTCCCCTTCCCATTCAACAAAAGCACCACTGATGATTTGGGGTCCTCCTGGATTTGAACATGAAAGTGGCTTTCTCCAAAGATGTTTCTATACTAAACATTGCCAACAAAACTAAGGGGAACATGAGGTAGCCGGGACCAGGGCCCAAAACACGAAATCCCATACGAAAATCCCAAACACTGTATCAACAAAAAGGGAATTGCTTATTTTCAGACCCCAAATATCCCCAAATGCCCCAACAGCAGCGTGCTAAGGTGGAGCAGCGTCGTAAGCAAGCGGGGCGCACCGACGTGCTTGGTGCGCAAATCTGGATGGTTGGAGACTGGCCATGGGGTTCTCAGAGGAAGAAAGAGGTTTCAACATGTTTTAACCAATCGAAAGTATTCGAAAGTCAGCTGTTTCGCTCAGAAATGGCGGGTTCACATGGTTTCATCAAAAAGATATTGGAGTGTAACACCAAAACATTGGATTTAGACAGATACTGTAGGTTTTTTGCGAGCAAAATGGGTGGGAATCAAGCATGTAAGCTTTTTAGTTTGAAAATAGGCGGGAATCAAGCATGGAAACTCCTTAGTTTGTAAATCCTTTCTGCAGCCATTTGCCACTGCCAAGCCTTCCAATCAGCAACGCCCTGTGGGCGACCATGGCTCATGTTGAAGAGTATGCGTATGAATATGAGACACTTGGTGATAGTTTAAGATGGGAAGAGTGCATTGTAGAAAATGACCCAAGAACAAATGGAACACCTGAGTTATATAAGGACTTACGAAGGATACTGTATACGTACCATCCTGATAATGTGGGATTTTTGCCATTTAAGCTGGCAAGAAACAATTGCCCATGTTGGAATAAGGTTTTCCTATTCTTTTCAACCTTTCCTTTTGCTTGACATGTTTGATTGCTGGAGTTTGGCTGTCGCCTTTTCGAAACTGCACCGATGGTGACACAGAATGCAAAGACTGAGTATGTTTTTCCCCAAACAGTGTGTCCACACTGAGGGGTTTTTACGGTAGCTGTAAAGGCGGGTGCCTGATCAGGGTGCTCACCCTGGGCCCCGGCATTTTTCCTGTAAATTTCTGTATAAAGTGGCCCTTGTGACATGTTGAAGTTCATATCTACTGCGCAGGGTCGCACAAAGTGTGGTCCGAGCTTCTGGCCTGCGGCATTTTACCTGTAATTTTCTGTGTAAAGTGGCTCTTGTGACATGTTGAGGTGCAAATCGATTGCGCAAGCTCCCACAAAGTGTGGTCCTAGCTTCTGGGCCGTGGCTTCATCATCATCATCATCATCATCATCATCATCAACCTCACCATCGTTATCATCCTCAACATGATCATTATCATCCTCCTCCTCCTCCTCATCCTCAACATCCTCCTCCTCCTCCTCCTCCTTCTCTACATCATCATTCTCCACTTCATCTTCCGCATTATCATCCTCCTCCTCCTCCTCATCATCATCATGATCGACCTCACCATCATTATCATCCTCAACATCATCATCCTCAGCATCATTATCCTCTACATCATCATCACCATCATCACCATCATCATCATCATCACCACCTCCTCCTCATTATCATCACCATCATCATTATCACCATCATCATCACCATCATCATCACCACCATCATCATCATTATCATCATTGTCATCATCCTTCTCTGCATCATGATCCTCCACCTTTTCATCCTCCACTTCGTCTTCCGTATTATCATCCTCATCCTCACCCTTCTCAACATCATCATCCTCCTCAACATCATCATCCTCCACAGCATCCTTCTGCACCTCATCATCCTCAATCTCCTCATCCTCAACATCATCGTCCGCAACATCACCATCATCATCATCATCCTCCTCCTCTTCGTCCTCCTCCTCCTCATCATCATCATCACCATCATCATCAGCATCATCCTTATCATCATCTTTATCATCATCATGACCATCATCATCTTTCTCACCATCGTCATCATCATCGTCATCATCTTCTTCTTCTCTTCATCATCATCTTCGTCATCACCTTCATCATCATTATCATCATCATCACCATGATCATCATCCTCATCATTATCCTCAACATTATCCTACATTATCCTCCCACTCCCCCCGCACTGTTTGGGGCCTCTTGCCGGGATATTTTTTTTGATTAGTTCAAATCTAGAAAACCCCAAGATTGATTACTTTAGCAATCCCAAAGAGATACGTTGATCTTGTGCGATTTGTACTGTGGCAACCATATTTGGATTTTGGCACATTTGGTGGCAGAAATTGATCCCTCCTTTGTTTGATTGTCATTCCAACGAACGGATTTACTGGAAGACTCTGCTCCAGCTGGGAATGAAAATGAAGACCGAAACGGTTTACATACTTAATTACTGTCAATCAGATGATCAGTCAGCAAAATTAACTACTTTCATGCATTGAATATGGGTTCCTCAATAACTGAGCAGTGTTCAAAACCCCTGTTGACCGATGATAAGTTCGGAGGTTTATCACCTACCCTTTAAATCAATTGGGGATTATCATGGAGTATCAGAACGCATGAAGTGGGAATTGCTATCAACCAACCAGCACAATGGAATGACAAACCCAAGAACGATAGGGATTTCGCCCACTGAACATGGGATACTATGGGGAATTCAGCATCAAAATATGGGGATCCTCCGGCAGATGACATTTCCGGTTGCACTACATTATCCCTGTTATATTCCCATTGACAGTGTATCACTGTATCCCCATTATATCCCATTTTATTGCCATGATATTTTCATGCGGCTGTTCCTCAGGATTTCTGTCAAAAACACCTTACTCGATTTCTGTGCTGTACAGGACAGTGCCCCGGGGGCGGCCTTTAGCGTATGACGGGAGTCTGTCCAATATATGTATATATAATATATATATAGATATAGATATAGATATACATATACATATACATATACATATACATAGATGGGGTTGGAAGTAGCCTTATTGAATAGTGAGGTGCCTTAAGCCTCTGATTGTCTCTAATTCGTTTCATATATATTTTTTTTTTAGCCTGCCGCGACACAAAGATATTCCTGAGGTTTCATAGAATTGGGTTAGTTTACAGTTATGAGAATCTTTGAGCCACAGAATGGGGTCAGAATTAAAGGTTCTTTTATCCCTTTTTTATCCTTTTGCCCTTGACCTGGATATCCTTTTTTTATCCTCCCCTGATTTTTCCTCAATTTTGTATATCCTTTTTTTAATCATTTTTTATCATTTTTTTTATCCTTTTGTCCTTGACCTGGATATCCTTTTCTTATCCTCATTTGAATTTTCATCATTTTTTTTTAAAATCATTTTTTAATCCTTGTTTTATCCTCCTAGTTAGTAGTAGTTAGTAGTAATTAGTACTGGTTATTAGTAGTTAGTAGTAGTAAGTAGTAAGAAGCCAATCTTGGTCCATTTTGCAGCTAGGAGGATTAAAAAAGGATAAAAAAAGGATAAAACCCTACACTTTTCCTCAGCCCTTTGCCTTTGCGTTTTGTACCTGGAGAAGCCAATTTTGATCCATTTTGCAGCTAGGAGGTTAAAAAAAGGATAAAACATGATAAAAAAAAGATAAAAAAAGGATAACATCCTACACTTTGCCTTTTGTACCTAGAGAAGCCAATTTTGATCCATTTTGCAGCTAGGAGGATAAAAAAAGGATAAAAAAAGGATAAACAAAAGGATAAAACCCTACACTTTTCCTCAGCCCTTTGCCTTTTGTACCTGGGGAAGCCAATTTTGATTCATTTTGCAGCTAGGAGGATAAAAAAAATGATAAAAAAAAGGATAAAAACAGGATAAAACCATACACTTTTCCTCAGCCCTTTGCCTTTTGTACCTGGAGAAGCCAATTTTGATCCATTTTGCAGCCAGGAGGATAAAAAAAGGATTAAAAAATGATAAAAAATGGATAAAACAATGATAAACAAAAACACACCAAAATCAAGGAGGATAAAAACATGATAAAAAAATGATCAAAAAAAGGATAAACAAAAAAACACCAAAATGAAGGAGGATAAAAAAAGGATAAAAAAAGGATATCCCGGAAAATTCAAATAGGATAAAACACGGATAAACAACCTTTAAAGGATTTTCCAATCTCTGGCTGCCAAAGAATCTCATAAGTTTACAGCCCCATGACAGTCCCAAGTTGGGCCCAATGTGACTTAGGAACTCTGCAAATTCCCAACGGTTTTTGTCCAAGAACTGGTGGACAAAATCTGGAAGGCCCGAAAAAATAAATCAGATGGGGTTTCCTAACCATGGTATCCAGCCGATCCCCAATCAATCCATTGTGGTTTTCCTGGCACATCCTGACACAATCGACCACGAGATCGAGGTTTTGGAGGTGGGAAATTATATATATATTACTATATACAGTATATACATGTAATATACACAGGTGCATTTCATAATATGTATTTACGTTATACCGTTATACATGTAATGTATGTGTGTATGTATATACATATATATATACACGTATATTATAGAGGCAAGGCTTGAGGTTCCCCGGAGCATTGAGGAACCCTGAGTCATCTTGAGTCTTGCCATCTATTAATACATGTCTGACCATGTAATACACAGGTGGGTGGGTGGGTGGGGTGTGTGTGTAATAACGTTCTTTGAACGGCGTTGGAAGAAAGATGTTGTTACGTTGAACATGTTGCTACGTTGAAGATGTTGCTAGGTTGAAGATGTTGAAGATGTTGCAACTTTGAAGATGTTGTTATGCTGAAGATGTTGTAACGCAGTCGCGCCTACCAACAGCTTCAAAACGGCCTTGTGGATTTGAAGACGAAAAAGATGGATTCGCATTTCGCCCATGGTTCTCTGGGGAAATATGCAATTTTCACGTCATCAATACAAACGCTGAAATTTTATCAACACATAATATATACATATAATATATATATATACATATATATATATCGTGCACATGCTGCATACTAATAACACATGTCACATCATGACAAGCTCTGGCCAACTTGACCCAGGACGTGCCCATGGGACAGCAACGCAGCTTGTCCTGTGGAGACTTGCCCACCGTGTCGGTGGGCTTGGAGACGTCCCTTGAAGCAGCGAAAGTCGAGGCTAAATCAGCGGTTTCGCCAGAGGTAGGGCCGCCAAAGCCCGAAGATTTCGTTGAGGCGGGCGACCTGAAGGTTGTGCTTTGATAAAGCAATGGTGGGGAACAACAAAAATCCTGTGAATCATTCGAGATCATTAATATGTATGAATATGTGGTGTATATTATATGTGTATACTACTGTATTTCATTTCCATTCATTTTCTACTAATGTTTACCACATTTTTCGTTGCCAGATGTGTCAGTAAACTGACCCAGAACGATGGCGCGCGGATTCTTCACGGATGTTGGCGGTGTGCAACGTGTGCAACGCGACCATCCAAAGTATATCCTGTCAGCGACCATCAACGGTGGCCCTGTCAGTTAAAAGTTTCTTCATAAACCCCAGTAGCTATAGTTGGAATATCAAGATCTGGGATATCATGGATATATGTTGATAATATATATATACATATATATATATATACATGTATATATCCAGTAGCTATATGTATAATTGCCATAAACCGTATTGATTAATTATTGGAGTAAAAAAAATGAGTTTTTTCTTGCAACCATTGCTGCAATGGGGCCCAACCGTATGTTGAACCGGGCATCAATTATGGTTGATCATCCCATTGTCACAACAGCGCATGAAACCTATCGAGCCCCTGGTTTAGTCTTGGATCTATTCAAAGTGGATGGGATTGTATTTTCGTTTGGTTTTTCTTCGTATCCATATGAATCAAACATGAACTAGTATCTAGTGTCCACATCATATCACATTCACTTACGGATTTCTTATTTCATCCATTCAAAAAAAACCTCCAATTTTCTAGTTTTCTTCCCAATTTTCTCGCTGGGACATGATCTCTTGGAGGTCCCGTATGGCTCCATGGTGTTTTCTCAGGGATGGTCCCATGGCTGAAAAACCACACGTTTTCCATATCTTCCCCGAGACAATACACCAAGTTTGGCTGGTTGAATAATCATTAAGTCACCATGAAATCATCATTCAACTCACCCTGAACATCATAGTGGGGGTTAGATCATGTTAATGGTGATTAATGGGGATTAATGGTGATCAATGGTGATTAATTTTTTTTGTTTGAGAAATTTGACTTTTCAGTGCTTTCACCAGGCAGCGGTCTGCAACCGTCAGGGTTGCAGTCCTTGCGTCTACTTCTTGAGCCAACACGGATGTGATAAGAGCTGCGGCTTTTGTCACCAGATCCACACGCCCCTGGGACATGTTCGGAGGGGGAAAGCGGGGTCTCGCCTACGGGGATTTCTAAGGGGATTCTAAGGCAATGATGATTGTTTGGGGACATCATTTGGGGAGAAATTGAGTTGATGTGGTTTGATCAGTAGACATGAGGCAACAACAATTTTAGCAGATCGTGGGAACATCTTTGCTGTGCCTGTCGAAAATACCGAAAAGACACCTGGAAATTATATGAAACATCGAATCCTGAACTTGACATACTTTTCGGCATCTTTTTGGGAATTGCTAGGCTGCTAGATACAGTGTTTTCGCTGTTTGTATACACATACACATGTAAGATCATGTAAGTGTATGTGCGGATAGAAACCGTTCATTGATATTCATGAAAAACTGGAATCGCAGGTCGTGTCTGCAGTTTTTTTGTGGTTTTGCGTGGTTTTACCCCCAGTTTTCGGTTGGCCGTACCTGCCAACGACCTCATCAGAGATGATAAGGGGGATGCTGGAGTGGTTCAAGACATTGATTCGGTGGAAAACCGTAAAAGTGCCGTAAATGCCCGTTAAAAGTGCCGTGTTACAGTATCGATTCCCATAGGTTTTGCATGGTTCCACTGACGACAAATTGTCTGATCAAGCACCATTTTTCTCGGGTAAAATCAACATCGTTCAATCGCAACTTTTACTTGGCAAACTACCAATTTTTGCTTAGCAAATCACCAATCTTGCTGGTTAAATCCCTGGAAAAATGCTGTTTCAGTCGCAATTTTTGCCAGTGAAATTCCAATTGAACTCCACATTTGTGCCACCCTGGGCATTTGTTGCCCATGGCATCAGATGCAAGAAGCCGCGGCCACGCAAACACTTGCGCGACAAGTACAAGCAGTTGGTGAAGCAAGCCCTCGCCTTGCAGGCCTTGGGAAAAAATGGGAAAAACCAGCAAAAATGGTGATTTATCCGCCAAATATGAGGATTTAGCTGGTAGAGATCAGGATTTGCTTGGCAGAAATTGGGGCATTTGACCTAATATTTGACCAAGAACTGTGACCAGCAAGTTGCAACAACATGTGAGTTTTAACCGGCCACCATAGGGGATTTTTCACTAGCCACACTCTTCACATGGACGGTGGAAAAGCATACAATTTCACTGGGCAATCATAATGATGTTTTTTAGTCAGGAAATCAGTGCTGTATTTATCAATAGATTCAATAGGTGTTTCTGTATATAGGTATATCATATTATATAATGTTATATATATATATATTATAGCATATGATAGGTTGTATTTATGGGGATGTATAAGCAACTGCCTTTCTTTTGGGGTTTGTCTTATCAGATAGCGATTTTTCACATGATGTGCCGTTTATTTTTTGGCTATGTTTTTACGGGGAAAATTTGATAAATCCATTGGCCAATTTTCAGTGAAACCCATGGCAAGTTCTTCTGAATGGTTCTCAGAAGGTGGTTTACCTGGAAATATAGACTGGAATTATATAGTCTGGAAATATAGACATCCTCCTCTTAATCCTTCAGTCCGACATATCATTTTTTTAAACGGGCTTCGTCAATGGCCATCGGATCGTTTCCCCCTTTGGGTAGCTGATCCTGATCTGGCTATCCGAAGTGGTGCGTTTTGTCCGGTTTTGACCAGGCATTGTGAAGTGGATTTTCCGGCCACGTTTGATGAGTTCTTCGGATGTTGACACCCCCTTTGAAGATCCGCATGTGAAACCAGCTTTTGGAGACTTTCACAATGCAGGTGAAAAAAAACCAAGGTAAATGAAGGATTTACCCATGAAGTGGAACGTAATCAGCAAAGGTGGGGATAGAAACCATCTGATTATATATACTGTGTATATATATATATATCACTGGTGCGTGCACGGAGCAAAGATCTCTTTCAAGTATACTAATCTGTTTCAAGTATACTAATGTCTCTTTCTTCCCAGTTGACCCTCCTGTTGGTTGAAGTAGACATTGGTTGAAGTATGGTAATCAATCCCCAAAAAGATCATAGAATCATAGAACTATCATTTACTATTTGAGTTTATCACGGATTCTTCAATTTCCCATCCCTTGGGCGATGTTTTTTTTGGCCCATCCGCTAAGCGCCAGGAACCTGAGCGTCACCGCAAGCTACAGACTTTAGCTCAAGAAGACAAGTACCTGCCGGTGGTGATCATTGGGAAGTTGAACCAGCTGTCCCTTGGATTGGAGATCGTTGGAGGAGAATCTTGGATAAAAAAACTACCCTAAAGTGGATGTTTTTGTTGCTTTTTCCAGCAAAAAATAAGTGGGACCCAACTAAAACGACCATTTTTGGTGGGAGATCACTAGGTAAGACACATGACAATGTTTTTAAGCACCCAACATTTTCGCGGAGATGTCATTCCACCTCGCAATGGGTAATGAAGGGAGACCAACAGAAATAACTTGGACAAATCAACTCCTTTTTGTAACTAGGAACTCTTGATGAGCCCATATGAAACCAGATATGTTTTTTTTGCTAAACAGATTTTTTTAAACAGACCTCCACCGGGCAAGGTGGGTCAGGGTCAATTGAGATTGTCACTGGCCCAGTTTGGTGGCATTTTTCCGATGAAAATGGCTGATGAAAAATAGATGAATTTACCTTAGATAGGTTCAAGATAGGTGGTAGAGGCCTTAAGTAAGATCCAAACATGTCTGGTACGTACGGCTGGTAGGTTTGGTTTTCTTGGTACGGTACGGTTGGTACATGTGGTACGGTACGGTTGGTACGGCTGGTACGCTTAGTAAGGTACGTTTGGTACGCTTACCAACCGTACCGACCGTACCAACCGTACCAGTGAACCATATAGTGAACCGTACCACCGTACCACTTTAGTATTGGTACATCCAAAACGCCCCCCCCTTGACCCCCCCTTAATCTGGTACGGTATGGTGGTACGGTTCACTGGTACGGTTGGTCAGGTCGGTACGGTTGGTAAGCGTACCAAACGTACCTTACTAAGCGTACCAAGCGTACCTAGCCAAAGCGTACCAAGCGTACCAAGCGCACCAAGCGTACCGTACCAAGTGCACCAAGCGTACCAAGCGTAGCGTACCTATCTTATAGCTGGATATCAAGCACCTATCTTGAACTTAGATAAAATTTACCTATTAAAGATGGTGGTTTTCTATTTTGCAAACTGTTATATAAAATATTACTAATGGTTACTACAGAGGGGTTTCTTGATTATGGTCAATTGATACATTTTGGAGAGAATTGTCATATGGATTGGCATAGGTACCATAGGAGCAGGTCAAAAAAATTCCAATGGCTGACCTGGTGGACATCTGGAGCTCCCATTCGCCAAATGAAGATATGGTAGCACATGTGGCTCGGTTTGAACATGGCTACCCTCCGGTAAACATACAAAAAGCTATTGAACATGGCCATAGAAATAGTGAGTTTTCCCATGAAAAATGATAGTTTTCCATAGTTATGTAAACGTTTACCAGAGGGTATTCCAGCTTCAAGCTGAAGTCTCGCTCCAGCTGCATTTGAAGAAATTGAGCCAATGTTGGAAGCTGGGGGGCGGAGAGGATGATGCATGGACCAACAGTCGATCTAACCCCTTTTCAGATTTTGATTGGCAAACTCCAAATGGTCAATTTTGCATCAAGTTGTCCAATCTGAAGGAATTGGATTTTGTAGGTATATAGACATAGTATATAACATTAATATAACCGATTATATCTACTTATCTCCCCATTTGATACTTAAATTCCCATGATATCCCAAATATTGGACCGGTTTTGAGTGGAGATCTCCCCTTAGCCATGGTGACCACCGAGGGCCAGCTTGAGCACTTCCAGCTCCGGGCAGACTTTGCAGTGAGGTGAACCTTGGAACACCATGGTGTTCAGAGTTCCTAGTCGTCTCTAGGATGAAGGGTTTTCAACATTTTTTTTTTAAATGATTCATTTATGATTTGGATACGATTTCCATATATATATATATATAATTTTCTGGAGGGCGGCACCCCGTGGGGGAGTGAATTTTCATTAGGGATGATGATAAACCACTGTAAATACCGATGTTTTATGCACTTGGAGGGTCTAAAACCCTGGTAACACGCACTTTTTTCATCATGATCTTGACATGAGATATACAAACACATTGGCAGGCACCAAAAAAACAAAAAAAACAAACCATTAGATGCACCAAACATCGACAGGCACCAAAAAAAACAAAAAAACAAATTTTCCAGCAACTACTCAGAAGTGGCAGTGGACCCATATAGTTCCTGGAAAATTTCGTTGTTTTTGTATTTTTGGTGCCTGTGCAGGTTTGGTGCATCTAGTGGTTTGTTTTTTTTTGTTTTTTTTGTGCCTGTGCAGGTTTGGTGACTGTGACTTCACAAAGCATTGACAAGCAACAAAAACAATCAAGAAACACAGCTAACATTTTATCAAACCTTCTATCACTCTTACTTCATCTATTGCTAATATCGCCTTGATGAATTTCAATTGCAGCTGCCTCTTGACTGCAGGCTGGATCATACATGTTTGGGTTTCAAAAACCAGTTCAATAATGAGTGCTGCATCTTTTTGCAATGAATCTGCCGACAAGGCTCTACAAGATAAGATACAGGATGGCAAACAGGAAATGTGTCCAACTTCTTCAGTGATAACCATTACAGTACTTCATTTGTTGATAAATTTGATATGTAAATAGTTTTTTGATAGTTATGTTTGACAATAATGACTGCAACTGCCCCTTGGGTGCAGGCTAGATTGTGTATGTTTGGATCTTGGCCAAATTTTAAACATGTTTCAAAGAAGCAAACATACCATTATTTTTGAATAGCTATGCCACCACACAGGTTGCCTGATCTTAATAGTCAGCAGCATGACACACTTCTCTGTCTCTCTGTTTTTTTTTGTCTCTCTCTCTCTCCCTAACTATTGACATGAGACTGCTGACAAGACTCTGCAAGATAACAATAATAAACAAGATATGTACCTACTTCTTGAGTTGTAACATTCCCACCATCCTTCTTATCCAGAGTGTCAGATGTGCTTGTGTATATTTACCTACATAATGTATGCCCTTCCCACCATACTTCTTATGTATATAGCGCAAATGCTTGTATATACGATATACAATGAGATGATAGCAATCTAACAAGTTCATTAAGAAACAGCTATATCATATCAATTGCTTCTCGCAATAGAATCAATCCATCACTTCTATCACACTAGCCACCTATTGCGCAGCTAGCCATTCTTATGGCTTGCTGTGCAGCAGATGTTTTCTGTTATATGCTGATTGTTTGTAGTTCCAAGCCTCACAGGGAAAATTGAATCCTGTCACAAGAGCCTGTAGATGCCAGTGATATGGTTTCAAATTGTGGTTATGTTTTGTTTAATGGTTTTGGGTACGACTGGAAAACACACTTATGTTTTTTTTGATGGTTTTGAATATTTTTTTTTTAACGATTTTGCTTCAAAATCAGGTTCTGTGGTGGGAAAAGGCTTCTGGGAAAGGGAAACCCTACCAAGATCGATCAAAATCAAAAATCACATTCAAAACCATAAAAAACACATATTCAAAACCATAAAAAACATAAACCATTTTCCCAACCATAGAATAATCGTATTAAAACCATAAAAGACATAAGTCATTTTCCCATCCATAAAAACATACCTGCAAGTCATTAAAACAACATATTGAAATCGTAAAAAAACTGCCAAAAACGGCATCCTAAAGGATTGAACCATGGTGGATCCTTTCAGCATGGTGGATCCTTTGGTGAGAGGTTGCCAGCTTCCTCTTTAGGTAAGTTATACATGTATAATCATGTATATATGTTATAGATTGTTATAGATTATATATATATTATACATATAAAAGTGGCACAGTGGAGGAGTTGAGACGGCTCCTGGCATGTAGAAATCAGGCACTATGAATTATATTCCACCTGAAGACGACGTCTTGGAAGCCAATTTTGCTCCTGAAAATGAAATTTCACACATTTGGAAATGGAGTCTCTTGGAGTATCAGAATGGTTTCCTCATCAAAAAATATTGGTGCTTAAGGCTAGGGCTCACCATTGAGTCATGCCATGAGCGGCAGCCGCGGGCGGCTTTGCGAATCATTTCTCTTCACAGATTTCACGCCCTTGGAATTGTTGATGGATCTGGATTGTGACAAGATCTTGCTACTTGTATTCTTGGATGTGCATCAAAGATCATCAAAGTCAGTAAGTAGGTAATAACCATGTTGATCATAGTACGACCCACTTAAATATGAGTAATGTGGGATATATTAATATAATGTAATAATATATATATATATAAAATAATTTGACTTAATATAATATAGTATAGTATAGTATAATATAACATAACATAATACAATATGATATATAATATGCACATATATACATACATATATATATATACGTATATATGTATGTATATATGTATGTATATATATATGTATATATATATGTATATATATATGTATATATATACATATATATAATATGCACATATATATAATATGCACATATATATATGTATATATATATCATATACATATTATATATACATACATATTATACACCACTTAGACTAATGGGTTATCAACCACTTACGATGCCTCTGTCCCACACCTTGAAGCATTCGTAGATCTCCGAAGAGGTTTTCCCAGGGGTAAACTATGGTAAAGTCCACATCTATGTGTGGTTTATTTCCACCCTTATAATGGGGTGTATAATGTTATATCTTGGGTGGAAACTACCATTTAGCCTAAGGTGCTCGGACAAAGGTTTTGGGCGTGGGAGAATCCCGTTCCGAATGCCGTGTGAAAGCCACTGATGGCAGGGCAGAGTTCCACCATTGGCCGACCATTTGCCAAGTGAATTCTATCTACACAACAATGGGGACCCCAAACAAAACAGACACAAAGACTATTAGGAAACACAGAATGTATACATGAAGCCAACACATCATGCAGCCATGTACCGAAACCGACCGGCCGTCTATCAGTGTGCTTTGTGCAAACAGATGCACTCCACGGCCGAAAGTCGTAGGAGCTTTCGCATTGGCAGATGCCTGGAACCGGAACATTTTCATCGTGAGTCAATGTTGTTTCTAGCTTTATCATGCTTTATCAAGTTTACGATTTTGCACTTTTACTTTTTATTTTAAAAGAACGACATTCCAGGGACTTTTGAGGTGAATCAAAGGTGATGTTTTGACCTATCGAGGTTCCAGGCGATAGTTCAGCTGCGAATCGCGGTTTGAGACCGGCGCGGGCCGGAGGTCAATTCATAGCCTCAGACTCTGCGAATTGCCACTGTTACGGAGGTGTTCCAAAAGGGGAGTAACCCCCACATCATCTAAGTCATTAGATCATTTTAGCAACTAGTATCTGGTTGGTGGTTTGGAATATGGCTTTTATTTTTCCATATATTGTGAATCTCATCATCCCAACTGAATAATATTTTTCAGACGGGTGGCTCAACCACCAACCAGGTATTGAAACCCATGGTGAGTTGGGGATACTCCCATTTGTTTTGATGATGAGATGATGAGATCCATGAATGATCCATGAAGGTCGCTGATTGATGTTATCATTTTTTTGGACCACTTGAATTGGGAATATTTTAAGCCCCCAAATAATCCCTTCCCCCTATTAAATACCAGCCTGGAAAAGCCTGTTTTAGTATTGGGTTTGTCCATTTCCAGGAGCCCCAGGGATGGGCTTGTTCAATGGGATGGGATTGAGTGTGATATGGGATGAGATTAATTGTGATACTATTGAGATTGTACACTATTTTTTTTTGCCAACCATTTATCAACTGGAATTGTTGCTTACATTCCCGTTGATGAATAGATAACCCTCTGTTTTCATGGTCAAGGCCACTGGTTTTTGCTGGTTAAATCACCATGCGCAAGCTGCATCTGACCTTGAGTCCCCTTTGGGGTAGACCCCACAAGACTCACAGCCATTCATCAACAACAAGTGGTTAGCACGTGGATGATATTCCGCCAGAGTATCCCAAGATGCACCCATAAGACCAGTCATAAAAAACACCTGCAGGTCATGACTTTTTGAAGCTACGAAGCTACAAGCACTCCAAAAAAGGCTGATTTTTTGTCCCCCTTAAGTTGTGTCCGCGCTGGTCATTGGACCCAACTTCACACTTTGAAGACAATTGAATCGGCCAGCCACGTTGGGCTAATCGACTGAGAGTGTAGCCGGAGAACAGGGAGCCGACTGAGGACTTTTGTTTGATGAATCTGGGGTTCAATGGGGATTTAAATGGAGCTAACCAACAACTCAAAACTCAAATCTGTGATTTATCACCAGTGATTCTGGTATCATTTTCCCAATTGCCATGAATGGAGGGTTTTTCGCGTACGGTATCCCATCCATTTCCAGACAAAGCCAGTTACTGTGAAACTGATCACCCCTGGGGCATAGTCGAAGCCAGGTATTGATGGAGTGGGGCTCTTCTGTTTGATTTGGGTCGTCACAACTGGTGTGCCTTGGGCGATGATGAAGCACACCACTTTTTTATGGTTCCAGTACCACAAATGGTTTCATCCCTTTTTTTATGGTGGTTAAATACATGTGGTTAAAAATGGTGGCTTCCTTCGGGGTGTGTTGAATTTTGGGATGGGCGAATTGATCATGGCTCGGCATGACCTTTGAGAGCATCATGGTTTTGTTCGGTGTTTGTGTTGAAATGGGAATGGGGGATGAGTTTTTTTCTATTGATCGATGCTCCGTAGGCTTGATTGATGATAGGATTATGAAGCTACCTGATTGAGGATTACGACATGACCCATGAACTGAGAATCATGTTCTCAGCAAGGGATGACATTGCCGGTTTTGAACGCTGCTCACATCTGTGGTGGTGATCTAATTTCGATCAATCACTGCCTTTTGCTTCATAGGTTTTCACTTACTTGCAAGCCCTTCATCAACAGATGGAGAAAAGAAAGTGGAGATGCCCTCGTTTTCAAAAATGGCATATATAATATGGATTATGACCAACACTACGACATGGGTTTCTCGGTTCATGTTCTTTTCCGGTACCTCATAGTGCGACGAACATGCAACAGGATGCCCAGCGACTGGCTGGGGAAATCTCCGTTAGCTAGCTATTTCTGGGCATTTCAATCGCATCATCATCTGTAAATTTTCAGGATTTTCCAGCCATGTTTGATTACCGGAGTATCTTTAAAATAAGAAGATGGCCTGGGTCGAAAGAAAAACATCTTGTCTCAGGCGAATTTCAGATGAGAGTGGCAAACCAAACCATACATAATACATATAATTACATATATACATATATACATATTACCCTCTGGTTATTTAATATAGCCATGGAAAATGGATGAACATGGCCCATTTTATAGATGGTTTACCTAGCTATAAGATTGTGATTTTCCATGGCAAACTGTTAAATAACCAGAGGGTATATATATATAGATGTATATTATCCATACACATGTATAATATATAATGTTGATATGTTGGATGCAAACCTATGAAAAACCCTTTAAACAATGCTCGGGAAAGTGCCACTATGTGCCACTGATTGGCGTCACTGGGATGATCCGTCAGACAGGCATTGTGAAGATGACTTTGAAGCTGCCTTAGCTTCAAGTTCAAGCTGATGATACTCCCTGGATACAATATATATGGGTATGGATCAATACCTATGAAAATACCTTTTTTAGTGGGATGAACATCCATAAATCCCAGCTATTTTGATGTTCACCAGGGGTACAAGGTTTTGACACACTGCCATATGTATATATATATACATACACAATATATACATTATACATACATACATGTAGGCATGACATATCCCTGTTATTTACCAACTTGATTTATGCCTCGTTAAGCCGCCTGGCGCGGCTTGACCTAGTTATGATCCCCAACAACAAAGAACGGAACCATCGCCCCGAAGCCCTCCGCCCCCTGCTTCGTGGCTTATCCCATGGATTGGTGAACTGACCGTTGCGTTTAACAAAACTGGAGTCGTGGCTGGTGATCCGAAAACGGTCGCCAGGTGCTATTCTCCATCCTCTACTTTAGCATCTTTGCGCGGGACCGGAACTTCTTCAAACCCTTGAGCCAGTGGCTGGTCATGCGACCAAAGAGGTGTTGAAAAACTATAACTGAGCAGTGTCTGCTAAAACCCTGTTGATTGATTGATGCTTAGATGGGCTTATGCTACCCAATACAGTATGTTGGGGATTATCGCAATACATGAACTGGCAATTCTTATCAATCAGTATAAAGGACGACAGAGGGTCTTGAAGAATGCCCGCAAAAGTGATGAAGGTTGTGAATTGAACAATGAAAAACTTGGGTTTCTGGGAAACATATATATTTGCGAAGGTTGTGCATGCACACTGGGAGTCTAACTCTAGCCGTTATTTTTGGCAGTTTAAACAAGAACAAACATGATTTGTTTCTTGGGAGTCTAAGGAATGACAATGGAGAAAATAGCTCAAGAACTCCCCAATCATGGTGAAGTTTCAGACGGGGATTCATGGGAAACCATGAAAAATCGAAGCGGATCCGGGAAAAAAACATGTGTTGTTCTTATCAGGATCTATAAACATGGTGGGTGTTCACTTTTTTTCACGAACATCTATCTTATATCCATCTTAATATCTATCTTATATCTATCTTAATATCTATATTATATCTATCTTAATATCTATCTTTTATCATATATCTATCTTATATCATATATCTATCTTATATCATATATCTATCTTATATCATATATCTATCTATATCTATCTATCTATCTATATCTATCTATCTGACATTTTGACTTTATCTGTTGTAATCTGTTGTAGTTTATCGCCACCCCTTTTTTTTCTGCCCCCCAGGCGTTCAACGTTGGGGAAGTTCTTCCAGGGAGGCATCGCTGCGGTGCTGGAGCTGTAAAATTCCGTCAACGCCGCTGCGAGGTGTCGAGGAGATACCAACCATTAAGATGTGAGGGCCACTATAGTTAACCACTATAGTTGGTTAAGACACTAAAGTTAACTCACTATTAAGATAGACTATTAATATTATTACTTAACTATAGTGAGTTGATGTAGATACTCAACTCCAATTAAGAAGTTAGTTCATGCACTAACTATAGTGATTTAATCCGCACATATCCGCACTATTTTTGTTTTTTTGACTCATAGTCAATGACAATGCACTTACGAACTATAGTTAATGATAGTTTTTATGCACTGACCATGGTTAACTCACCAACTTACTAACTTCGCCGTATAGTTAACTCACTACTACGTAGAAACGTGTTTCGCTCTCCGTTGGGGCCGTTGGGGATGGTATGCTGATTACTTGCTGATTACTTGATATTTCTTGAATCCTGGTCATGGACGACTCAGACCCCACATGTACCAAGACCATGCCCATATGCTCCATGTGCTCTCTTTTCGTTGCGTTGATATATTTACCAGCACCATGGAGCATGATTTTAGGGAATGAATGATGGTACATGTCCAGCACCATGGAGCATCGGCGATGGGGACAGAACGGGACAGTCATGATCTGACCAACAAAGATGATGTGTAAATAGCTGTGCCGATGTGGCCGATGTGTAAAGTTGGTCCAATACCCTGAATACAGCCTGTATTTGGAAATGCTTGGTAAATATGGACAAAAAGGGTTTAGCAGATTAAAAAATATATATATAGATATATATATATATATAAATAAATATATATATATATGTATTTATACATCGAATAACCAGCATAGCAGTGCAATCATCGCTTAATCGAAGGATTTTTTTCACAGTGCCATGGCGGCTCGGTTTCAACTGCAGGGCGTTCCGGTCGTCGGGTCGCGGGGCCATGCTGTGGTTACTGCCCTTGGCAGCCCTGGCTGCAAGGCCGGGAAGCTGCTGATTTGCCGGGAATGACCTGATTTTGTTGCTAAGAATAATCCAAAAGTTTTTTACATGATTGAGTTTACCAGATTCTTGATTTAATTCATATTAAATCAAGCTTGTGTTGCGGATGCTATGTGAATGCCATGGAGTTCCATAACCACATTTTTTTTGGGATGCCTTTGGGTTGATTCTGGTTGTGGCTCAGCAAAATTTATAACACGGAAATCTGCAAACCCCATATATTGGGATATGTTTAGTAATCCCTTCCTCCTAATACTAAACCTACTAACCCCCCCAAAATAATAAACACCTCAGGTAGTTTTTAGTATTAGGGGGGTATTTATTATTAAGGAACCCTATTAATAAAATTAAACCTTTAATAATAAAAACCATTTTTCCGGTCTCAAAATCAATTAACTTTCCTTATATAACGCAATTAAAATATTGCCAAAAATTGGATTTCGAAGCGGACCCTATTAATAAAATTAAACCCTTAATAATAAAAACTAGTTTGTTCGATTTCAAAATCAATTAAATTTCCTTATATAACGCAATTAAAATATTGCCAGAAAATGGATTTCGAAGCGGGCCCTAATAAGAAATTAAAAGCCCTAGTATAAAAAACTAAAAAACATCGGACGGACCCTAGTAACAAACACCCCGGGGTGAACTTGTTTATTATTAGGGGGCAAAACCCACAAATGGTAGCTTTATTTTTAAATTGTTTTCTAAAGGGGATCAATTAAAAGTCAAATTGGCCAATCTGAAATTTTCCGAAATTAGAGATGGACCCTAGTTTTTAGTATTTTGGGGACGTTTAGTAAGGGGGAGGGATTATTTAGTGTTACCCTCTGGTAAACGTTTACATGACTATGGAAAATCACAATTTTTTAATGGGTAAATCAACTATTTCTATGGCCATTTTCAATAGCAAACTGTAAGTTTACCAGAGGGTAAAAACCATGCTCTCCTTTTTTCATTATAATCCCATCATCAAATCCGAAAGATTTTGGAGGCGCACCAGGCGCACCATTGTTATCCCCAAAAATATGAGACCCCAACATGAATACAATAGATCCCATACATTCTACTGACTAAACACCAGGATGTTTTTTAGATATTTTCAGTCTTGGGATGTAAGTGTCATTCACAGCCACAAGTGATGGGATGTTATGGGCATATACCAAGATATATATATATATAATATTATTATATATATATATATAAATAATATTATTATATATATATAATATTATTATATATATTATATTATATATATTATATATTATATATTATATATTATATATTATATTATATATCTATTATATATATTATATATTATATATATTATATATTATATATTATTTATTATTTATTATATATTATATATTACATATTATATATTATATATTATATATTTTATATTATATATTATATTAATTATATTATATATTATATATTATATTATATATATATAATATATTGTTATTTTATATATTATATATCATTTATCATATATCATATTATATATTATATATTATATATCATATATATTATATATAATATATTGTTATTTTATATATTATATATCATTTATCATATATCATATTATATATTATATATTATAGATTATATAAAATATATAAATATTATATATTATATATTATATTTAAAATTAAACAAACTATTATTTATTATATACTATATTATATATTATATATTATATATTATATATTATATATTATATATTATATATTACATATTATATATTATATATTATATATTATATATTATATATTATATATTATATATGATACATTATATATTATAATACATTATATATTATATATTATATATAATACATTATATAATAATATATATATATATATACATATATACTTACCACATATCCGCAAAGCAATCGCACGAAAGTACGCCTCGAATCATCCATGATGTAATCCAAAGTGATTCGTGTTGGTTTGACATGGTTTTACTGTACCTGGTTTGACACCTAACATTGCTGGCAGAATCAATGTGGGATCCTCGCGCAAGGCCGGCACCGGAGCGTGTGCTGCTGGTGGACTGCAACAATGTCCGCGGCAAAGGCTGCGAAGGGCGCTTTGATCCTTGGCTGCCAAACCCACTTGTTGCTGATACTATCCAAGATACAAGTCTATCCAAGAACTATCCAAGAAAATCACCATTTTTTATGGGTAAATCACAATTTTTTAGGGAGCTATACTATCCAAGTCTATCCAAGATACTGGGGACAATTACAATTGGGAAATCCCATGAACCAGTATCAAGGGAGGACCAAGTGTTTTTGAACGCTCAAGTGGTGATGCTCTGTAGAGAACCTGAAGGTGGGGTCGATAGGGTTGATTGCTAGAAATTTAAGGGGAGTTCTGTAAATGGGGGACCTCAAAGCCGATTTTTCAACTGCAAACAACCATCTGCTTGGTGGTTTGGAACATGGCTGGATTATGACTTTCCAGAAACAGTTGGGAATTTCATCATCCCAACTGATGATCACTCCATGATTTTTCAGAGGGGTAGGTATGCCACCAACCAGCCACACATTTGGATGAAAACTCTGAGAGGGGTGGCCTTGGGCGCCTTGGAGGCCAATTGAATCCAAGTGACATGAACGGGGAATGAAGCAATCTTGCACTTTGACAGAAGTGTAACCAGGACAAACTCTGAATTTCCATCGTTCAAACATGAACGAAAGCATTGAGTCATCGAAGCCTTATCTGACAGTGGAACATGCTGAGGATCGTTCGCTTGTCGTTGTTTGGTGTAGATTATGATGTCCATACCCTCTGGTAAACTAGCATAACTATTGAAAATCAACATTTTTAATGGGTAAATCAACTCTAAATCGGCCGTTTTCAATGAACATTGCCCGATTCAGAAACTACACGCGATTCCGAAACTACGATTCCGAAACTACGATTCGGAAACTATTCCGTGCGATTCCGAAACTATGTCACGCGATTCGGAAACTACGATTCGGAAACTACGTCGTCAATAGCTATAGTAAATTACCAGAGGGTAATGGTTGTTTTGTTTCTTGCTTGCCAATGGGATTCATTCACGTACTTGTTGAACATTTAACATATCTCAGTATAAATCTTTACGGTACCCCCTCGTCCTCTGCGAACTTGTTCCAGTGTTGAGCCATAGCTAAAGCATGCTAAACCCCCTCTAGCTAACCCTTCCAAGTTGCAAGGGACGCAGTTGATGGGTCCCACAGTGATTTAGCCTTGAGACCGCTGTAGGACCTTACAACGTCACAGTTTTTCTGCTGGTTGCAGCGCTGGGTTCTAGAGCGTGCAGCCGAAGAGAACTATTCACAGGCAATCCCGATATTTTCGCTGGTGAGCGGTGGGGTATCTTATAGCAGCCCCCAAGAAGATAGAAAAACAACATCCTACTAAAAGATACTAAAATTAGTGGAAAAATTGGGGATTACTATCTATATATGTATATATATATACAATATATTAATACATACAATATATATATACAATATATATATATATATACAATATATATATACAATATATATATATATACAATATATATATACAATATATATATACAATATATATAATATATACAATATATACAATATATACAATATATACAATATATACAATATATACAATATATACAATATATACAATATATACAATACATACAATATATACAATATATACAATATATACAATATATACAATATATATATATTGTTTTTCATGTATACTACTGTACATATACCTTAATTCATCCATTACTACGCTGTGCTTATGGCTCAAGAAACAAGCGCGTAATTGCTGTTGTCTTTAGGCTGTTGTGCCTGTAAAACAGGTTATCAGCCGTAAGCTAACTTCTCTTTTGTAGGCAATGTCTGCCCCCTCGGGTTCTTCCACCGAGGGCACCGGGCGCATGTCCTCTGACGCAGCCATGGCCAACCCCGGTAACTTGCCTATAAGTAACACCCCATTCACCATTGATATAAGCACCCCACCCGGATCCGATAAGTCCCGAAGCCTACGGGAACGTCGCCACCTTCCACCTATGGGTAACGCAATTGTGCCTTCCCATGTGGGTTTTAACCACCGTGGATATGTTCCCCAAGCCGCTCGGGAGGGTGGGCCGCCGACTCGCCAATTGAACCAAATGAATGTTCACAACACATTTCATCACAATGTGCAAATGGATAATCCTCAAGTGAATTTTGTCGAGCAGAATTTGCATGTCCATTCACATGATCCTGCAATGACAAGCCTTGTGGAAACAGCGGCCGAGCTCCGTCATCGTGAGGTGTTGGCTCATACCGAAGCTCAGGCTGAAGCTATCCACACGGCCAAGACTGAGGAGCTGAAGGAAGCTTTGCGAGTCCGCGAGGGCATTGAAAGTCAGAGGGCCCTTGATGCTATCAGAATCAAAGAGCAAGAACTTTTGAACGCGGGTGCTCAATATAAAGAGAATTTACAGCATGAGGCGCATGAACATGTAAGGTTCCGTGAAGCTCAAATGAATGAGAAAATTCAGGCCTATCAACGTGTCATTGATGCTAACCATCAACAATCACTTTCAAGTAAGGAACAAGAGATACTTGAGTTGAAAAGAGCAGCTGAGGAAGGATGATGCACCTGATGGGGATGATCCCGGGGATGGAGGAGATGGCAACGGAGGGAACGGGGGAGGTGGACCACCGTCACCACCTGATCCAAATGATAAGCCTGAAGGGGATAAGAACCGTAAGGTGCCCAGAAGGAACAGGGATGGTCCTAATCCTCCTGACGGTGGTGATGACGGTTATGATGATCCCGATGATGATGATGATGATGAGAAGTTCAGGCGTAGAATGATCAAATTCCTTGGTGGTTACGTTGACCAAAGGCATGATGACAAACCCAAAGTCAGGGAGGCTGACACCATCAAAATCCCAGCATTCCCATTGGCAGAAAACTATCGTAATTGGAGAATCAAGACTAGAGAAGCAGTTGTAGCAGCATCAACCGATCCCGACAGTGCTTTCAAGTGGGTTAGTGATTCTTGGAAAGAAGAACAGACTCTTGAAGCGCTCCGGAAGGTTGCGCCGTTTGCGACACTTGATGCAAAGTTACTTTCTGCACTCACAAACATCATCACTGGTGACTTCGCCCGAAAGGTAGACACCTTCAAAGAGACAGAAGCCACCGCTGGACGGATTGTAAGAGGGAGACAAGTGTTGTTCATGTTGCATGACCACTTCAGTACCAACATCAAGCACGGAGCAACCTATGCCCTCCAAGATTTGTTCAGTGTCCAATTGCGTGGGGAGAATTTGAAGTCTTTCATTTCGAACTGGGATCAAGTGTTGGCTGGTATTGTTCAGACTCCTGATGTAAGTGTATTGGAGACACTCTTCTACAAACAAGTGAAGAATTGCAAGGCCATCCAACATGACATGAATGAGTATCATAGAGCTGATGAAGGAACCGAGAAACGAAACTACAGTTTCCTTGTTTCTGCCGTGCGACGCCACCTTGACCGTGAGAGGTTGGAGGCAAATCGTGATCGAGTTGCCAAAGGTCTTTCGGGTTCCGGTCGTCCCTCCGCTCCCGCAGTCGAGGGCAAGACAGGATTCATCCCCAAGGGGTATTGTGTGGCATGGAATAAGGGAGGCTGTAGCAAGGACAACTGTACATACAAGCATGAAGTCCCCAAGCCACGTGACAGAAGTCGCAAACCCAGCAAAACCAGAGGTCGCTCTACTGAACGTTCTGGTTCTCCCAAACCAAAGGGGAAAGGTAAGAAAGTTTGCAAGTTTTGGAGACAGGGACGTTGTGATAGAGGAACTGATTGCAAATTCCTTCATGAGGGTTCAGTGGGAAAGCCAAGACAAGCTACTCCTGCCCGTTCGGCCAGTAGCGAAAGCAAAAATAAAAAGAGAAACCCTAAGAACCCAAAAAGGAAGGGATCCCGAAGCTCTAGCCGCTCTAAGAGCCCCAAGAGCCCGAAGTCGGATCCGGGGCCAGTTCACCTAAGCCGTCTCCTGCCGCAGTTTGTCTTGTTGCATCCATGCTTGCATCCGTGTCTCAGGCATTTTGTATCCCTCAGCCAAGAGTAGTTTGTCAATCGATTCGTTTTGATGATTCACCGGACGTATCTCTTGTGAAAGCCCGGGGGAACTTGAGGCCAATTGGAAACGCAGTCACCAGGGATAAGGTTACCTTTCCATGGGGACATCAATTTGAAGTTGATCAACTTGCTGTAAGTGATGCCGCTTTGACCGGTACCATGTTAGCTGGATCTGTTTCCAATTGTCTTCGGGGAGTTGAATGCAAATGTGCCTATTTATGTGACACAGATTTTGGTTGCAACGAATGTATCCCTAAGGGAATCAAAGCTACCCCTGCGGAATGTAGAGAAGACGTGAAGGGAGCGATCAACCTCGAACTTGACTGGATAGCAGATACGGGGGGTGGACAAGATCTTGTCAATGATAGTGAATTGCCAGATGACTACGGATACTATTCCAACAATCCCATTCGCATGATTACCGCCAATGGCGAAAGCTCATCATCGAAACAAGGGAAAGTATTTGTTCCAAAGTTAGGCAAGACCATTGACCCATATCTTGTTCGAAGCTCGCCTCCTGTCATTTCAGTCGGGATGAGATGTATTGATGACGGTTACGACTTCATATGGAGAGGATCTAAAGGTGAACCTCCTTACATGGTCAAACCAAATGGGGAACGCATTGAGTTAGTTGTCAGAGATTACGCACCCTACTTTGCAAACAATTCAAAGGCGATTTCCACTCCATCAACTCAGCATAGACCAAGTGTTGCCACCCCGGCATCAGACGAAGCTCAACAATCTCCGGAGCCCGATGGGGACATTGAAATCATTGGTGATGACCCCATGGGTATCAATGTTGATCTACCGGAGCCCCAGCCCTTGCAGGCTGAGGAGGTTGATGTTCCTGATGCCGACCGGGAGGTTGAGCCGCCTGTGGAGAGTTCCAAGGGTAGCAGTAGTAACGTTCATGATGATGGTGCTCACAAAAGGTCACTAGGGGAGAAAGAATTGAAAGAGGAAGCTAAGTCCATTCGACATATGCTGACTCACATCCCTAAGAACCCCTTTTGCGATATATGTACCAGAGCAAAGATGTTTAAGCCACCCTCAAGAGCCGTAGGCGGATCAACCAAGGTTAAAGCCGAGAAATTTGGTGACCACATCACTGCTGATTTTATCGTCACCAGAGATGAAGATGAGTTGGGAATCGATGATGAGAAAAGTGCACTCGTAGTGAAGGACATAGCAACAGGATTTATGTATGTCTACCCCAATGCCAGACGAACCACCAATGCTGCTATTTTGGCAATCAAACACTTTGTTGGACACGAAGATAAGATAGGAGTTTTCTACAGTGACAATGCACCCGAGTTGATCTCAGCAATGAAGATCCTTCAGTGCCGTCATGTATTAAGTAGAGACTACATATCCAAGTCCAACGCCCAAGCCGAAAGAGCAGTCCGGTCAGTCCTCGAAGGTACTCGTGTCAATCTGCTCCAAGCAGGTTTGAATCATTGGCACTGGCCACATGCTGCCCGACACTGGTGCTTCATGCAGAATATCATGGCAACGGGGGGAGACAAATCACCATGGGAATTACGTTTTGGGTCGAGGTTTGATGGTCCACAGGTTGCCTTGTCGACTATTGGAATGGTCCAAGAAAGAAGAACAAAGAAGGACTTCGTTTCGACCCAACATCGAGCCCTGGTTTATTCCTTGGCCATGCCATTCACCCAGAATTCATGTGGAGAAAAGAATTCATGATCGTACCTACAAAGGATCTTATTGAAAATGAATCCAATGGTACTGCATCAATCTTGCGGGTAATCAAGATCAACAAACCGAGTGAAGCCCAATTTCCTCTCCAAGGCAGAACGACTTTTGGGAAAGATGACCCGGGACTTTTCGAAGCTCTGGGGAACCAAGAGCCGGCATTGGAGGATCAGGATGCTGAAATGGGTGATGACAATGAATCCCAAGAGGAAAGCTTCCAACTTTCTACTGCCCATGCTGTCCATGATGAAACATGGCTACCTTTCATGAGACATATAAAAGACCGAGAGGGATGGTACGAATATGCTGACTGTCACGTCAACGTGAAGAGGGATTGTGATCATTACATTTCTCCCAACAGCAAGATTTCGACTGAAAAGTATCCCTATCGGACAACATGCCATCGAAAGGACGATGCCTGGTTCATCTTAGACCAAAACTTCATCCTCTGGCCAAAATACGAGGCCTGGAACGAGACCATCGCTCCATGTGAGGTCATGCTTACGAT